TAAGCAACCAAGTGGTAAGCAACCGAATGGTAGTCAACCAAGTGGTAAGCAACCAAGTGCTGAACAATCGAATGGTAGTCAACCAAGCAATAAGCAAGCAAATGGTAAGCAACCAAATGGTAGTCAACCAAGTGGTAGTCAACCAAGTGGTAGTCAACCAAGTGGTAGTCAATTTAGTGTTAGCAGTATAACTAGAATTAAAAATGACTTATCATTTTTGGGAGGTAAAATAAAAATAGGAAATACGATTATATTAGATCCATTACTATTTATGAAAAACTTTAAAGAATCGAGTCACTTTGGTAATGCTACTTTACTCGCTACCGATAGTTCATCCTATATAGTACTTTCTGTTAAATTGTTTAAATTATTAACTAATTATTATAATGATTATCCTTTATTTAAGAATATAAGCACTGTTTCAGAATTTGAGTCTACACTTTGTGAAATACAATATATGGAGAACTCGACAGATATTTTGGATAAGGTATTTTCTATTGCTATAAGCTTGGCTATTAGATCATTCGAAATGGATCCTTATTTAGAGCAAATAGTACGTTTTGTATGGGAGTATGGGAAGGTACATTTGATAGAAAAGGGTTTAGATGCGTATGCTTTTATCAACAATAATTCAATTAATAAAATGTTGAGTAATGTTATTGAAACTGTACACAATGAAATGGATTTACTAATTGATCGTTTGTTAATTGTATTACATTCGTATTTATCTGAAAATAACAAATTAAGGAATAAAAATTAATTTAATCTTGGCTAGGAGATAAATATAATATGTAATATTAAATTAATACACAAGAATATTATAAAAATGACACGAAAAAATAATATATTTTATAAATTTATAGTTTATTAAATTAAAATAAAAATTGTGTAACATTACTGACAATTACTTTTTATTGGATATTCTTTGTTATTAATTGTATACATCGTTATAAGAAAGCTACATCATAGAACTTTGAAAAAGAGTGTGATGGAGTTAATCGATTTGTCGATTGAACTAACGGGGTTGATATTGTATTTTTCTATTATGATGGGGAATATGAAAATTGGGTAAGTTTTTACTGGTCGGGGTGTGTTTTGTTTTGGAGGCCCCACTCCCTTGTTTCCGACTTTCTCTGACTCCCTCTCTTTCTCTTAGAGGGTAAACGTGACTTGCGCTGTAAGTTTGGGTTCTCCGATCCACCCAAGTGGAGGGGATACGCGGACTTACTCTTCCTGTCAGTCACGTGGAGAAGTTAGGCGGTTACGGTTCGAGTTTCGCGCCTCCCTCGACACTTTTTTCTCTTATTATTAGAACATTTTTAAATTCCCTACGACGCTTAAGGTTCCTGCATCCACCGATTATTTCAATAGACCAGAGAACAAGTGTCAAGTAAATTCATCGATAAACACGACTTCGAGCTATCGGTCAGAGAAAGTGTTCTCAAGGGTTCTCCGAATTCAAGGGTCAGTCCTCTTTCTTTCATTTTTATTTTTTTTTTATTTTTATTTTAATAATATCACTTCGTATCGAGATATTTGTCGTTAATTTATTGTAATTATTTCGACATTGAAATATTTCTAATTTGTTTGCAATATTAAAGATGCCTGTCCACATGGAATGTAATGATTTTAAACAAATATACGTTAAATAACAACTTATATATATATATTTTCTTTTTCTTTGATGCTTTTTAAGTATAATGTTACATGAATGATTTTCTATAAAAAATTGTTATGCTTGGAATATCATTTAGTAATAAACAAGCAAACAATTTGATTGTTCAAGTTTAATATCATGATCACTGAAAAGATAATTATTACAATAGAAATATGATAAAATATCAAAAATTCTCGGTACATTAAATAAGTTTCTGAATATTATAAAGCTTGCGAAAAGAGAAATATCGAATGAATAATTACCGTTAATGGGAATTGATGGGATTAAAAAATCGTTAATGTTTTCTTGGCACATCTTTACAGAACTTTACATAAGATTTACCATCATCCTCGATTAGCTGAAGAAACGAGAGAGAGAGAGAGAAAGAAAGAAAAAAGATGAGCATCCGTCGAATATTTAGGTCATCTTAACTACGAAGCTTTATTTTCGTATAAAGAATAACCGATCTTTTATTTTCTGACTATCATCCTTTTTCCAAACATTAAATAAACAAGATTTGTATAATTGTTTGCGAACATGTGAAATTTGACATTGCGGTATTAAAAAAAGTTTGGTATAAGTACCTGCAACATAACGTAGTATGCACATTATTTGAGCAAATTCTTGTATATGTGCATACGTACTTTGGTATCTACATATGTGTACGGGAGCTAGTAGCTGCGGGATACCTAAAAGCACTCGTAGAATTGATGGACGACTTTTGTGGTATGGAAGGCCACTGAAATACGGGATTCTCTCTCTATCTTTTTCTCTTTTCTCCCATCTTTTGCAAACCCAATCGGCTAAGCCTACTATGGAAGAAGAAAATCAAATTTTAAACGCATTGTGTTTCCGCGAACAATCTTGTTAGACCTTTTTTCAGCAAAATCGGATTCGTTCGTTTTTTTTTCTATTTATCTAGGAAGAATTCTTTCTCTCTCTCTCTTTCTCTCTCTCTCTCTATTATATTTGTTTTCGTTTTTAATTGTTTTTTTTTCTTTTTCTTTTGTAATTACAAACATAATCGTTGTGTAAAAAGTCGTTGTCTTGTGAATTTAAAGAATAGTTAAATCTAGTTATTGTCGAAGCACGATTTATTTCAGAATAGAAACCCTTTGGACTTGGGAAGCCGTGCGTCAACGATAATTACCGTGTAGTAGAGATTGAGATCGCCTTCTAATAAATATCACGAGTAAAGGACATTTTCTACAAAGAATAAATAACGTTTCGCGTTAGTTGATTTATTGAAAAATATAGCAATAGTTGAGAAATATTAGAAACGAACATTGATTCGCGTTTCCTTCAATTTGGAGAAACTCGTGTCGTAGCCTTGAGGCACCTTTCCTGCATCAGATCGATGCTTAGAAGTAATAGGATAGATATATTAGAAACATTTCTCGTGAAAAATTGAATCTACGCTGACCCGAAGCTATAACCGCGCAAATAATTGGTCTTGTTAGCAATAGCAATGGTAAATGTTGTTATTTCTATCGATCAACGTTTCTTCATTGATAGCCAATGGTTCTATGATAAATAAGATCTATCTAATGAAATAAGATTAGTTTTCAGATACGATCTAACCACCTAGTTGCTTACAATTCTTCTAGGAACGCGAGCTTTCGATCGGTTTGATTCATCGATTAGCTTGAAATAATAAATGTCATACTAGATTGTTTACACGATAGACATTTGCCGCGTCTAGATGCCGTCTGCGCATGCGAATTTTCTTTCGATCTTTCTTATTTTGTTCGCTGGAAGAATCGGATTATTAGATCTGTCCTTGTTAAATGGAAATTATTTCTTATCCTTAGATGAAGACTAGTTGATGAAAGGACTTGTTTGTTATGCGAAAGTATTGTCAAGAGCAAAATTGTCTCGATTCTGACACGAAGACAGGAAGAATGTTGCATAAGGAAGAGTTAAGAACAGAGAAAAAAGTAGATTCCACAAAGAGAGAGAGAGAGAGAGAGAGAACGTGGATGGCACATTCCTTTTTTCTCCTTTTTTCTCCCTTTTTTCTGCAGACGACACATAGCGTATCATCGAAACGATCCTTATCTTCGAGAATTCGATCGTCATCTCTTTCTTAACTCTTTACGATGCTTTTCCTTGATGGATTTCTTCTTAAAATTGAAGGAAACAATCGCGAAGGTATTTTTTAGTGTTATATACGGTATCCAGTCTATTCGTACGTTTGAAATGTTATTTGATTTGTTGGATCGTTAGGTTTGTTCTTACAATTAATAGCACACATGTACGTATAGGACACGTATGTGTCTGCTATCGAAGTTGTACAAGTTTGAAACAGCCGTACCTTCCCAAATGTTGTTTAATGCTCTTTCTAGTTTACCACCGTAAATTTAACTAATTGTAAGTAAGACAAATCATGCAGCGTGAGACTTGAACTTTTGGGTCGCCGTAGGAGAAAAGAATCTAAACCGGATGATTTCCGAATCTTTTTCTTTTCGAAGAAACGAGAAGATACGCCTACTTCAATCATTCTCTACTTTTTATAATATCAAGTTGTTAGAATTATTTTTCTTGTTTTTTTTTTTCCTTTCGTTTATTCTTTACACGTGTTTCTTCGTGAAATTCGAAGGAAGAAGATTCCAAAGGGACTGATTACTTCAATCGAAAAGCTTCGTTTTCGTTTGCGATGAACAAGTTTATTATCATTTTATGTAGTGTACGATTCTCTTATGAAAGAAAATACCTTGACCGGGGTTGATGAAAAGCGTCTGCGTTTAACGATTAAAGTAAGTACATATATAGAGAAGTTAATGGCACTTTGTCCATCATTTTATTACATAGATATAGATTTAGTTTATAACGTCGATGATATTATGGTGGATTGGTAATGTTTCGTGACTTTCATTTTCTTCACAGGAGATAAAAATAAGTGGTGCTTTTGAAAATGTTCCTAAGACGCGTCGCGCGATTTGCTTCTCTATTGATTAGCGTTAGGGACTGCTGCATCGTATCTTTCTTCGGCAGCCCTTCAATTATCTTTCCAACTAGTTTTTCATCTATCGAACGTTCCCGCTTATTATCTGTTACCTAACCAGACCTTTCCCGTTAGCAGCTTTACATAACGGAATACCGGTTAGCGGTTTGTAACCAAATCCACGATATTCTTCGACAATTGAATATAGTCGATTTAAGACGAGTCAATTTCAATTACTCGTTACTTACTTCATTTAGAAATTAGATGAGAGAACAATGAATGATCTTTTTTGTCTTTAAAAAATGTCCGCTAAATGTAAGAGTTGGAGTTCGAGGATGGCGTGCAGGAATAGGACGAACATTTTGATATAATTATCTTTTCCTTCTTTTCGTATCTCCGGCAGAATTTTCTCACTCTCTTTATCCGTTGTCTGCCAAGCTTTTAGCGGTAAGCACATCTTCCCCTGAAATACGAGAGTTTGAATTGGGTTTTGTTGTTGCGACATCCCTTTTCACAAGTATTTATGTATACTCATCGATAGAGAAAAGCTTCCCGTTCGTCACACGTGAGTCGTTCCTTCATTCTTTTATCCCCTCTAAGCACAATACAATATAGTGCACTGTTACGCGTTTTATTTTGCCTATTTTCTAATTAATCAACGAATTAGAGAACATTGTATAATTTCATCGAATTTCATCCGAATTGTAATATGGGCAAATTTTGTATGGCAAAGGCGAGATAGTTGAAACACCATATATCAAAGTTTGTCAGACGCGCGAGCTCGTTGAATAATGAATGAAGATTTAACCGGTACGCGCGGCAAAGTAAGTAGAGAAGAAAATCATCGTAAGAAATAGTAAAATCTCATCGTCATTTCAAATAGTTTAATCTAAGAAAAATTCATCGATAACAGGCGTTCCTTTCTGTTTGAAATTTTAGAGGAAAGAAATAAGTTCGAGGTGGAGGGTGACGATCGAGGCAGAAAACATCGATATGTCACCTCTTTGCCAGTTAAATATCAAAGCATCAATGTCAGCGGTAAGTACCCATAAGCGATCGAGATATCTACGTCTGTAGATGTTTCTAGAGATGTTTGTATTTTCTTTAGGTGACGTAACCAAAATCGAGGTGGTGCTCGAAGAAGCACCAGACGACACTGTCCTCGCTGGTTCTATACCTTCCGAATTGAATGCCAGCATCGAATTCAATTCAACATATCCAGGTGGGGTAAGCTCGAGAAAAGGGATCAAATTGCTTTATAAATATTTTCAATCGATTAATCTTATATCAAAAGAACGAAAATGTATGCGTGTGCGCTTAATCTTCTTTGATCACGTTGACATTACGATTTACGATTTATCCTCGTGTTCGTTAAATATCTGATGCAAGATATCCCACGATTTCGATGCCGTAAAATCTACAGAACTAACATCAAAGAACTATAAATCTATATTTTGTTAGACGATATAGATCCAAGCATTACTCATAGAGAGAAAAAGACTCGGCAAATGCACCAGCTCCGTTTTACAGAGACCCTCCTATGTCCTCAATAAATATGTCCATTTCCAGATTTATTGGTGCCGATTATATCGCACCGAGTAATCTATAGGTGAATCAGAATTGACTAACTCGAAAAGTCGTAATTCTGACGACAAATGAGCCGTTTATCTGTTACGTTGTTTCTCGTTAAATTGTAGTAATATATGCATTTTGCTTGGAGTAGAGATGTTTCAGGTTTGAAAATTTGTCTCGTTATTGATTGGAAATGCGCTCTAACAAAGGTCGCTTACGTTACGTTACTGGGAGGGAGAAAGGAGTGAAAACGCAGCTCGAATCATGTTGAACAACGAACGCACCACCCGTTGCTTTCATTTTCAACGCTACAATTTTCAATTTCGCGCTAAAATTGTGTGTTATCGTATCGGGCTTGAAAGGAACTTCAAATTTGTTATCGTTTAACAATCCTCTTCGCCGAGAATAAAGAGTGCGCTTTTAATTGTCTCTTACCTTGGTTTAATATTATTTTAACGATAAATTAAGGATTTTGAAAATGGGCTAAATAGAAAATGTTTCTTTGAATTCGTTTTTCCAGGAATTCCAGAAACCGGAACGGTCGTGGTTAGAGCCGAGGAAGCTCTGATCGTCATCCTAGTTCTCTTCCTTTGGGTCGCAGCGATAGCCTTATTTTTTAATCGATGGGGAAAGATCAGAATGTTGGAGCCCTATCAACCAAAGTTTCAGCAACAACACAGACAAAGCTGCACGATGGTCGACATGAACGCGCTTCCGGTTAGAAAACTCTAATTCCTTCTTTATTACACTTACTTTTTTTTTATTCGAGCATCCTTGTCATGGTAAAATCACGAAGGATAGGATTAGTCTTGCGGCGTTAGGAACTTTCGGGTTAATTAATTTTGATATCCTTAGCCTTAACCTAGGTTCGACTGTCTTAAAGACTCTCTTTGACTAAAACTTTGCGACGCGCCCAATCGATTGTTATGGCAATTCGTACGTTTGATCATTCCTATGCATTCTGGTGCATCCTTGGCAAATTGCAATGTCAAAATAAACTAGTTCGTTCCGTATCCTCGCACTCATCCAAAGTTTCGCAATTTCCTTCTTATCTCGCATGTCCGACGACGCACATAGTACGTACGTGAAAGTATTGGACAAATGCCGACGCATTGTTGTCTTCTTTATTCTTATGGACATATATAGGAAGGGGATAATCTTCAAAGTTTTATCAAGAAATCGAGAGATAACTAAAAATTACGATGTATAATATAAATCTCTTTTATAAAATAAAATCTAATGCAACGTCGTTTATCATTCGTATATATACGATGCATTTGCATGATAGGTATCTGCGTACGTAGGTAGATAGAATATCGATGTTGAAGTGGCTAGATGGTAAATTGAGAAACGCGGAGTGGTATCGAGTAAAACATTTCTCTTGATTTATCTCATTTTCAATCGCGATCGCAAAAATTTAGATATAATGGAAGTTTCTAATTGATTCAACGTAAGGTTTCGAACTTGGAAGGACTTTAAGTTCTAGCGGCAAAAGTTTAGAAAAAGAATTTTCTGCAATTCTGACGCCTTTATCAAAGGGGCCTTCAAATTAACCAGTTGTTATGATGGTCGTTGAAACGTTTCCACGGTAAAGAGATCTTAGAATCGATATACGCTTCGAGTAGCTCGCAACATCCGCAATGCGTACCAAAATACACATCCAACCTAGGAGTGCAACGTCCTCGGTTTGTAACGTTAGCTTTGCCGTGTCCGAATATTTATAGTCGATCGAGAAGAAGAGAACGAGCGTTGTCCTTCCGAGATTTTCATATCGCAATACACGGGATACGAACAAGTTTATAACTTTTCTAAACAAATTCTATTAGAATCAGCATGGATGAGCGAACCATCTCTACAATTCTTTTTTTCTTATCACAATTCAAGTATATTTCATTTACCAAGAATAGAATGCATAAGAAGATTTTGTTTCTTTCTGCAGCAAGAGTATACTTATTTATATTAAGCTATCATTTTTAGAGCGAGCAGCAATCGTTGCTAGGAAAAATGAGCTTGAGAAAACGTGTCGCTTGTGTCATATCGAACGAAACGAGAAAGAATGAGAAAACTATTCCGATCACTTATTGTTATAGATCGAACAAATGCGTTACTTTTCGTCGTCGTCGAAGTCGAATGTTTTCCGATAATGAGGATCGAGCGTTATTTAATCGTATTCCCCAAGTTCCAATTGGAAAACTCTGTTGGATTTCGTTCGTCGATCGATTATTTATCGATTACTGCGACAAACGAGCAACTTAAATCCGGATTTTCAATTGAATCTTTAAGATCGAGAGACGGGGATAAAGTTTGTCGGATACCGCTGGTGTACGTTAGATATCACTTTACGTCTCTTCGATTCGGCAAATTGGAAAATAAACGGATCTCGTTCGATTCTACTTGAAACTTCTCGTAGATACGTCAACAAATCGTAAAGATTACGTTTAACAAATGAAAGAGAGAAATCGCGAAGAGCACGCGGGACTTTAGTTTTATCATGTAATCATTTTAGCTTTGATCGATTCGGTGTTATTTAATTGTAAGAGAAAATAATGTTCGGTAGGTAATGCAAACTTGTTGGAAAGTTGTTCCTTCTCGTTGATGTTAAAAGGTTGCTTCATGTTACCATCTCCGATTACTAGTTTAACTCAATTATAATATAGTCGGTATAAGAAGTAATACTCGTTTACGTGGACTGGCAGGAGGGCACGGTGCACCAGGGTATGGTGCATCAGGGTAGCTGCACCACCGAGTGTTGGAGGCCGAGAGAAAACAGCGTGTTCGTCGGTTCGAGCAGCGGGGCGTCCCTCGTCGCGGTCGATCAGGAGACGAGCCCGAGACGAGCCAAAAGCGCATTCGACCTGCAGTCCCTCGTCGCGGTCGAGTGCAACGTAAGTAATACCCAACTTACCAGTGGGACCAATCCCCATCCAACTTCCTTCTCTTTGGAGACCTCGAAATTGGCTCAACGGAGGACCAGCGTCTGTCAGTTGTTGGACAACCCATTATTGCAACAACGCCAAAGAGGCATGAGCGTGTGTAACGTCGATCGCGGAGAGTACCAAATTCTTCACAGTCAAACTTCCCAGAGAGACCGAGGCATGAGTATCTGTTACTTCGATAGAACGGACGTCTTGGCGAGGCCTCTTCAAAGGGACCACCACCGGGGTTCGAGCATTTGTACCTTCGACAGAATGGACGTCCTTGCGAGACCACCTTTTCGCGACCGCGGTGGTACCAGCGTTTCCCAATTTGACAGAATGGACGTTTTGGCGCGTCCGACTTCCTCCTATCTCGGGAAGTCTCTCCTAAGAGAGAGACGCGTTAGCGTTTCTAACTTTGCCGAAAAAAACGACGAACCTATGCCGGGGGCTCCTTCCTCCTACGCTTACCACCCTCGCCTACCACCCTCCAGCGTAAATAATCTCGATAAAATCGAACCATCCCGAGAACAACTCCGTTCCGATAAAAATAATCAAGATAACGGCATTGCGTATTATTTCGATCGACCATCCTGCAGCAAAACTCCGGACGTTGTGTTAGGATATAAAGCTACTTGCGTTTAAACTTACGCTACGTATCTCTACGATCCAAATTCTTGACCAAACGAACAATTACCAACTATCTATCTTACTTTTTCATCACAATTTTCAATTAGAACGAAAATAAATGCGTTACTTTAAATTCATATAACGGGAAGTGCAAAGAAATATCATTCTTTTCCTATTTCATTTTATACTCGTTACCATAAGCAAATAGAATATTTTTGCGACTCGCTGTACGTAGCAACCGTCGATATTTCCTATGTTTCAGCGGCCATTCGATACTCTGGACAAGAGCATTTAAATGGGAAAGCCTGGAAACGAGACAGAAAATTTCTATCGTTACATTTATTTCTCTCTTACACCTATAAATATGTTTTCTTCGTGATAAATATTTTCATACGTTCGTAAGTATGATAGATTCGAATCTTTCCTATTTAAATGTTCGTCGTGCGTGGATATTATTCTACATAGACCTAATGGTATAATAAAATTCAATCTATAGGGCTGCTCCGTCAGTTTTGATTCGTTGACGCGTGCGTTCTATTCAATATTTATCGAAACTTGTTTCATTTCCTCGCGACAGATATCATTTAATTGAGAGTAAGCTTCGTTAAATATGCACTCTTTGAAAAGACAAAGAGTTTACTTATAAAATCAAAAGAGTAAGTATTGTAAACGGTCAAGAAGAACTTCGTTGGACCAATGACGAATCTTTTTTCGTATTAATTGTGATTCCTTTTCGTACTTAACGAAGGGGTGAAAACAAATATGAACGTGATAATTATATTACCAATGAAAAAACAAATGTGAAATATTTTTTATTAATATCTCTTTTATCGCACAATCTCGTAGTTTAGTCTAACACGAAAGAAAATGTTACCATTGGCTCGTCAACAAAATTTCATTTCTATCTTAACCACGCGAATATAATATTCTATTTCAAATTAATATATATATATATATATTATCTATGTAGAAAATTTGGATGTCTTTATAAAGTTTTTGAAAACGTGACACTCATTGTTCCATAAAATTGATCTTCTAAATTAGTCGTAGATAAAAATATAAGATTGGAAGGGATCGAGAGCATATCTTTTAGCCAATTGGCAATATTTCAAACGATATTCGTTGACAAGCGTATCTAACGTTAATGTACATTTTTATATATAAAAAAAAAAACAAAACAAAAAATGAAAACAAAGCCTCGTGCTCTTATTTACTTTTTGATACAACTTTGTTAGAGATAAATCGAGAATGCTGGCCAAATTACGAATTATTCCGTGCTTTTCAGTCGTCGTCTGGATTTTATTTTATCAGGCAACATAGCAAAATGATCGAAGCTTTAAGTAGCTTTATCGTCAAACTCTTTCTTCTTATCCTCTTATTTTCTTTTTTCTTTTTGTTTTCCAACTTATCAGACGTAAATTAGTAAATACATAGAAATAGCTCTATTTTTTCGTATATAACTAACAATTTTCTTTCTCTCCTCCCTTTTGAAATTATTCTTAGAGTAAACAAATAAATGATTACAAAACTGAATATAAACGTTTCTCTATGCTCGATTATAAAGGCTCCTTGAGTTACAAAGTAACAACTTTTGAAGATAATATCGTAGAAATTTCATTCGCGTGCAACAAGTACTTTATAAAAAAAAAAAAATAAAAGAAGAGAAAATTCTTTCCTTGTACTTGCACATTTCAATCGAATACGGGATTGAGAAGAAATATTATACTTATCGAGTTTTGTAAGCGTCGTTCAAAGATACTCGGCCCGTTTCTCGGAATAATTAATGTCAATCGTCGAATAATAGAACAAAAAAACTCTTCTGAGTTATTATATTTTCGCTTGCTTACCTTTACTCGACTCGAGATGTAACCACGCGATTCGTCCAAATATCTTTTTACCAAATTTAACGGGAATGTCGTATGCACTTATCTATGTATATACTATATGCCTACTTATTTACCTATCTATCCAACGTCACATATTCGCAAAGAGCTTGCATATTTTTATTCACTCGAAGGAACAATTAGATAAAGTCATATATACATCATATATGCATAAATGCATACACATATACTTATATAGTAGAATAACTGTGAAGATTCTTTGCGAATATATATATTATATAGATTCGTGTCACCGATGAAAAAATAGCAACATTAATTCTGCAAATATAAATATAAACCTAAAAACTATATATATATATATATATATATTTATATAAATGCGTGTGTAATAAGTATTAATTGTTTTCGAACTTTTTTCGAAGATCGTTTTTGTTTCATAACAATCAATTGAAAGTTTTTCCATCGTATTACCTCTCGCTGTTTTATAAAAGAATAGAACTTACCGAGGAGAATTTGATATCGAGAGTTCTTAAAGGGGAACGTAACTGAGCTTTTACAGAATGAATGATTCTTTTTATTAAAGACGATTAACGAGATATACGAAATGGAAATAACGCGATATACAATATAAAAGTGTTTTTCATTTACATGTTATTATAAAATTTTTATTTGAATTTAAGTATTTGTACCTAATCACGAAAAATAAACTTTCGAATATTTTAGATAACGTAGATGGTAAAAGATAGATTTTATTCGTGTTTCTATAGAACGTAGCTATATTATTCGAAATTTCCAGGTAAGATCTTTTATACTATCAAATTCATAGTCATGTTTGGAAATAAATGTAGATATATTTATCCTCGAACATTCTTACCTTGTAAGTCGAAAATAATTTCAACGATCGAAGGAAAATATGAACAAAATGCTCTCTATATAGGGACAAATAATCCTAGGAAGAATATTTTCTAATAATATTTTGCGAGAAAACAAATATTTAACGTCCGATGAAATAAAAATTGAATCGATATTTCTATATAGTTATCAATAAATTGAAATTGATTTAATTCGTGTCGTGTTATTATCGCGCGACAACGGGACCTTCTATATGTAGATTTAGTCGAGTTTAAATAAAATATCGCGTCAAACCAACTAAAGAATTCTTCTGAAAATGGGCGCGCGCGTGTTTTGCGGATTTTAAGTAGACGAATAATATGCTTCATTATTTTATTTTCTTTCGAAATGAACAACTCTTCAATGCAATGAGATAATAATAGTTATGTATCTATGAATAATTATTTTTACGACGACTGAAAAAGAAAGCAAAAAAGAAAGAAAAAAAAAACTAGTCAAATAAGTAAGATTTTACAAGCAGATGAATTTTTTAATTAGTCCAGTTGTTATTATTATAATTACATACACATCTATCTAATTAGTATTAAGTTATAATAATTATCTTTATCTAAAACTTATTATTGTATATGAAAATTCAATCGCGTCTATCGTATACATGTCGAACGAAATTATTACGGAACATAATCAAAATGAATTTAGTAATAGCTCGTAATAACGATTTTTAATTGTAACGATGGACGACGACTCTTTATTAAACATGGGCACGTTTTAAGGATGATTAATATGTTTCATGTAAACACGTAAGCGTATAAAAATAAATACTTAAATACTTAAATACATTATGCAACGAGTCCAATGTCGTTTCCGACGCTCTAATCATGAAAATCTTGTTAATTATTCGTCGATTTACGTTGTTAGATGGATATATTAGTTAAGATACGCCATATTGATCATAGTATTAAAAAAAGTAACATAGACTGTCGTCTTCATAGACAGGAATGGTTATTTCTTGAAAAATATTATGTGTATTATATTTATACTTATAGTTATCCTATATAAATAAATTCGAATTTGTGAATAAAATTAACAAAGGTGAATTTTCGTTACCCATAAAAATATGTTTCAGGTTAGAGATAGTTTGAATACCGAGTCTTTCGGGGTCGCGTTTTAAAGGGAAGGGAAGCATTTAACTCATTTTTGTCATTTTTGGCTTTGATTGAAAAATTCATTTGAATAATTCGGAAAATCCTAAAGCGGGGTAAGACCAAGAGGGAAAGTAAAAGCATGCCAAGATCAAAGAACCACATATCGAGCTATCTGATAAAGTTGAGCTTACCACTAAAGGACTCTAATATCCCACAAGGTTAATGTTACCACGGTACCACTTAAGAGTCTCCACTTTCCTTACTATTCTATCTGGGATAAGCCCGAAACCGAGGAGAACTAACTTATTCTTACGAGTTAGCCTTGAATCCGAAGATATCAGAACAGGTAGGAATGAGGATAGGCGTTCTATAATTATAAGATAATTCTATACCAAGCAAATGAATTTTTTCAAATACAAATTTATGATATTATGGGGTTGTGATGTATAACGTGTGTATGTGTTACAGCTATAGTGCAGAGATCATTTATTTTGCAGATTAACTAGATTGATCTAGAGTGTTGAATTAAATAGACCAAAAATGGATTTAGTCTACTGTGAAAAATAAACGGTCCATAAGAGAGATTCTCCGAATAAAAAATGATTCTCCTAGCACACACGCAATTCAATGATTAATAAACCAACGCAGAGGCCGCGAACGCCTGGGGCTTTTCTCTCTTTTCACTTTTTCGATGCTCCCCCTTTGCCCATTTGCTTTCGATTGTTTAATCAAATTGCGAAAGAGAGGGTGAGGGAGAAAACAAGATCTACCTCGATAAGCTCGTTGGAAGTTCCTTGCTCCGTGTCATTCTACTCGAGAGGACTTACGTAGACATCCTCGGAAAATTGAGAGAATTCGCTTCGAGCGGAATATAACCCAAGCTTTCTCTTTTACGGTAATATTATGGAAAAGATAGATAATAGGCGGTAGTAATAGAAAAAAGTAAAAGCACGAAAAGATTCTTGCGGGCTTTTCATTTTCTTTATTTTTATCGGACTCCTTTGGAAAAATAAAGATTGAACAATGTAAACGAACAATGTACACGCCATCCCTAGGTGCTCGAAATAATAATTATAAAAATAAACAGGTTGTTTTGTTGTTTGACGCAACTATTAAATATATCAATTCTATAATGTATGTCTGCACGTGGCATAAGTTTGCCGCGACCCACATTTCGCGTAATTTCATATAATAGCCTAATCGGATTATATTCTATTATCATATAAAGACATAGAAAGGAGCATTCCGTTAAACTTTGACGATGGGGGCGATTCATTTCCAAGGATATTTTTCTACTAATCATTACACGCTAAATAAACTCGCAATGATTTAAACGATATAAACGTGGGTGCGTGCGAACTACTTCATTTAAAGTCTCGATTTTGATAGTAAATTATTACAATTCCTTCGAATTAAATGTTATGGAGATAGCACCGATAAAATGATCTCCCTTTAAAGACCATTAAGTACAATTCTATCCAAGGTCATAAAAAAATGTACCTTGACACAGTTTTGCGTTTAAACTGGCACGGAGGTTAAAGACACTGCTGTCAGTCATCATCCTTTGAGCGAACATACATTCCTATTGGATGAACAAGTTTTATTTCCAAAATAACTACCCCCCACGTATCTACTAATTATTTCTATTCTTAAAATAGTTGTTGAAGATCATTTTTCCTAGCGAACCTATCGCGTAACTTTGAAAAATCCTTCTAGACGTTTTTAGCCAGACTCAAGGATATTCTTCGGTAAAAACATGAGAATGCCTCGGAGGCGAGAAAAAAGCAAGGGGAATGGAAGAAGCAGAGGATGGTTTTAAAAGAAGGGAGGAACAAAAAAGATAAGAAAATCCATTCTTCGATCTAGTGTCTCGAGAGAGTACATTATTTTTTATCTCTCACCTTTGGGCTATCTATCTAGTTCGTGAAATAAAGGGGAAAGGAGATGTCCACCTCGATTAGTCGAAAACTTTATTATAGTATAGTTCAAAACTAGGATTTGTGAAGGTGGAAATAAAGAGAGGAGCAGAGGTATAAAAAGGAAAATGCAGGTGTTACGTAAGTGTAGAGTGACATCTCGATCCTTTGAATTTCTTATGCACGGGGCGACCGACAGCACATTGTGTTCTATGCACAATGAAACGATTTAACGCGAAAAGAATTTTAAGTAGCCTCCGAATCTTTTTATTTTCCTACATTTATTTAGGTTTATTATTACGTAGGTTGATTGAACAATGCAAACCTTTTTTTCCCTTTGAATGAGGAACTGGTCTAACGATTGCAGCAATCGCCTTGGATCTGCATGGATGGATATCTGGATGGATATACACAAGGAGGGCAATATTCGTTAATAAATAGATTTATTCAAAAGAGCTGATTTTAATGATTAACAATGAAATGTAATTGATATAACGCGAGAGAAGTGTTATGACAGCGGATGATCGAACAACGTGCAGTATGACAGAGACGAATCGAAACTAATTTCGATAGAATAACAAATGATCGTCAAAGCATACATAGTTTAAAATTTCTAGGTATGGATTAGCAATGACCGAAAATAAATTAACGATTCGTGTTATATTACCCGAGCAAATCCGTGATACAAAAAAGATGCACAGGAATAATCGACCATCCCTTTAGGGGTAAACCTAGGGGTAAACCTAGGGGTAAACCTTCCGACAAAATCCAATACTAGGATCAAAAGGTATTGTTCCATTTAGAGGAATGAAATGTGTCCCGTTATTACTGCCTTTGCGAATAGTTAAATTCGATCTAAAGTCAAAGGAAAATTCGATCTAACAAGTTGAATTTGTAAAGAAAATACAAAGTATAATAATATAATAGATGTATCGAAAAAATGAAAAGGACGAAATAGGAAATTGTCGGGAAAGAAAGAAGAAATCGAGTGGTCGTTGGTAATGGTTTTGGGTCGTTCATTTCGATCGAAGGATGTTTTCGGAGGTGGTAGGTGAAGGATCGACCGATAAGAAAAAAAAAAAAAAAAGGACAATCCTTCGAGATTGGCTCGCTCGATTCGAAGGGGAAAAAAACTTATGGTCGAATTCTTTTTAAAAGGTCAGGATCAATTTGGAGAAAACAAATGAATTTAATAATTTTGTCAAGAGCCAGTAAGATAAGGGGTTTTATTTGCAGTTAACGCGAACGATCATTTCCAACCAGTTAAGCTTCGTCTTTAAATTCGAGGGAAAAGCCGAATGCACTTTATCTTAAAGCCTTCAACGATCTCATTCTTCTATACTCCAATTTAGAACTGGTATATACCCCAAGTGCCAGTATCGGATTTTAGAACGCAAAGGCCCCGAGCCAACGAAAAACCGGAGGCCCCCTCCTATATTTTCGAATGGTAATAATTTGATTTCGTTATCATCGACTACAAAATTTTGCATTATTATATTATTGCATAATTCTAGAGGCCCCTAGGTTTCAGCTGTTGTTTCCCTCCCCATAAATCCGGCCCCACCAAATGGCTCATCGAATAAATTCTACTTGCCATTTGGCTTGATCGTAATTAACAACGCTTAATTTCATCGATATAATACGTTTATTATTATTATTATTATTATTAATTTTCCCTGTGATTGATACTCCCAAAGTTCTTTGCCCATAGCGAAATTGAATCAGTTCGCTCTTGTAATAAAAGCGTACGCGTATATATAATATATATTGTATTAACGTAGAATGCAAACCGAAGCCTCAACCAAGCCGTGCATCGAATTAATTTCTCAACACATAGGAATAGAATAGGTGCTGAAATAGAGGATAAATTATTTAACTCCTTCAGGAATACTGATGTCTCAGCGCTTTTGCATTTTCTGTTTTCTTTTTTCTTTCTTTTTTATTCATACGCAAGTTTTCTCGGAAAACTTATCTCTGAAAAATATTACAAAATAAGTTTCTGACGAAACAGAATTGATTCGTTAGAAGAGCATAATAGAAAGATAATCTCTCGCGTTTATCGATAAAGCGATAAGAATGGAAAATTGTAATTGAAAAAACGCATTTAGTTGATCGTAAAATCGAAAGTCAGCGTTATTTGCGTTGGTTCGCGACGTTTCATCACATCGAACAAATGAATTTCTATTTCCGTCTCTCGTAGCTCGTTGCGTTCGTGCTCCTCGTTAATGTTAGAATAATAGGTTTTCTCTCTTTTCCTTTCTTCCAAACAGGATACACTAAGATTTCCTTTCGCTTCGTCCAAGTGCCATCCTCGATAAGTACTTTGCCCGAGAAACGAAGGAGCGCGAAGGAACAAAAGGATCCCTTTTTTCCATTTTCTTCCGCCAACACGCAGGGAGATAGATAGAAAGAGTTTACCTTACCCTACCCGATGTATTTTATATAAACGCATAACTGTGTTCGTGCGTTCCATCTCGAGGCTCCTGTTATTTTTTCTCACTTTTCTTTTTCTCTTTAAAACGCCTTCGCATTTTCGCTCGAAAGCACGCTCGCCGAGTCATCTTTTTCTTGATGGATCTTACATTAGAGTAAAAAGATAAAAAGTGCCGAAAAAGTGCCGAAAAAGTGGCGAAAAAGTGGCGAAAAAGTGGCGAATACACTACACAAACCTCGACTCGCCCTTCCAATTTTCTTTTACGTTACACCAGAGATACGTACGTAATATAATAAATAAGTTGGTTTGACTGGAAAATCGAAAAAGTTTGTTGTTACATTTTCGCTTCTAGTCGATAAAAATATTTATCTTTCTTGTCGGCGAGCTCATTTATCAGACGGTTGTCCCACTCTCATCCTTGAAACCTTTCACGAGCATCGTGCAAAATATTTCTTACGCATTGTCATACGCAACCATCGGTGGGGTCTACTAGCCGAATGATGGATGGACCGATCTTAAAAGATTGTCGATCGCAGATCTTTCTTTTTTTATATTTTACAGTTATCGTTTCCTATTTATTTTTCGGAAATAAAAAAGTATTTCTTTCTCGGAGATGAAATATCTCGCGAAATGAGAGGTAGTTATTTGTTAGGAACAGTTATTGGCACATCGCCATAACGTTTGCAAAACAATGCTTGCGTACGAAAGCGAGAGAGGAAAAATAAAATGCCTATAGAATGACTAACGCGTACGTACGATCAAATCATCTAAATCTCTGTCAAATATGCACAAAAGTCTAGCGTGTAATACCAAAATACTGTAGCACCAAGTGAATTTTCAAAGAGGTAATCGAGTTAATCGCGATCGCGTCCTTTTTTACATAGAAAAATGAATTTTTATTTGAATTTGAATGAAATAATCGCGTATTCATACCGATCGATACTTAGTATAGAGAAAAAGGAAAACGTCCAGCGACATTTGAATACGATTTCATTAATTCAATCGAATAATTCGACGCTTTAATTAAATCGCGTATCGATCGTCCATCGAAATTTATTCGTTTGATATCGTAACGTAGGTATTGGCAGGTGAACCCGATAAAAAATAATAACTGGATTGTAAAAGTCTTCTCCTCGAAGTACACACTATAAAGTATAGTTTTGCGTCGACGGTTTGAATGCACAACTCTCGTGTTGCAACCTTCCGGTTGGCCAGGCGGTTTTGATCAAACCTTTTGTTTTTCCAAACGAACCGAGAGAAACGTCAAACGACCAGGAGGATATTCCATGGATTTCTCTTTCTCTTTCTCTGTTCCGAGAAACAACTTGCGCGATGTCTCTTTGCGCGAAAATCGATGCAGCAGCAAACAACGCGTTGAAAGAAAACGTATATCGAGAAACTTTTATTCGTATCGTTGGATCGTCTAATGAGATAGGATACGCAATACACAGGGAATATCCAAAAAAGAAAAAAAAGAAGAAAAATTCAACAAATAATAGCTAGCTAGCGTTGTCCGTAAGAACAATCCCCAGTCAGATGTAATCGGTCAAGTTGAGCCGTCATCCTTGTCGTCTAGTTATCCGAATATCGGGTCAAGGTCTCTCTAATGGACCAACCGGTCCAGCAGTCGTGGTCACCGTGATTCTTGATAGCTACGTTGAATCAATGGCTATCATCTCGGAAATGCCCCTGACGCAACCCTGACAAACAAATCAAGGACGAGAACGTTCAAATCAAAAGAGGTATAAAAGGTATATTATTATTGCGAAACCATGGCGAAACCATTGCTAAACTATTGCGAAATCATTGCGAGATTATTATCGAATTTATACGAGTACTAGGTTTGCGAATGTGCGAATGGGAGAGAGAGAGAGAGAGAGAGAGAGAGAGGGAAAGATAGAACAAGGTCCGAGTAATAATTATGTATGCTTTACGGTCGTAAATTATACCGTGCTCGTATTATAACAGAGGCAACGTCATACGTACATATATAAATGAAACTAAAGCATTGTTTGTTAAATATACGTAATAGCGTGTAAAATATCGAGTACAACTAGGAAGATTTCAAGAGTATTTGTAAGATTTTGATCAAGAAAGGTCAACGAGCTAAGATGTTTCATCGCGATTACTCGGCGATTGATGCGTGTGTGAGTGTAAACGAGACAGGAGAATCGTTCGAGAAAGGGACCTTAATCAAAGTGAACGGTTTATAAGAGGGCGCACGACAAATGTTTCACTCACAGTTCCCATCCAGGAGTCTCGCGAGTTAAAGCAAACCTAATTCTAACGGACGTCGCTTTTTTTTCATTATCTTCGGCTACTTTATCTTCTTTCTAATCGAACTTATCGATATACGAAAGAGATTTACCGTTGTGATTCCCGATATCGCGTCGACGAGCATCAATCAATAGAAAAATCGGCAATTCTCAGTTATATGTTCTCTCAATTTTGTTGTTCTCTAGCAACAAAAGAAATAAATATATACATATACGGGCCGCGCGTGATTTAAATCGATTGATTTATTCGTTCGAAGAAACGTAGAAAAGAAGCTTTGATACTTGGATGAATGTACGGGTGGAAGTACGAGACAAGGAATCTATTGAAGAAAATTCATCAAATTTCTTATCTAATCATAAATTGTTTTTATGCTCATCGGGATAAGATCGTGCACTTTGCTTAATCGGATTGTCATACCTTTACGGATTTTTGTCATTAAAGCGACACATCGCGGACATAAGAGAAATCGCTGTTAGATAAGACAGTCAACAGACAAAATTACTCTTTTACTTTCCCAGTCATTATTTACGTTCATTACATAACGGTGGATTCCTAAAGCGGAAATAAGCGTAATCATCGACCGATCGCGAATGGAACGACAACGAAAAGAAATTCAAAATGTTTCAACATCGATAACGAATAGAATGAATCACGGCGAAATTCGAAGGAACCTCTAATAAGTTAAATAGATCGAAAGGAAGATTCAATATTTCTCTTAATCACCATGGTGCACGATACAAGGTAATTATTATACGAGATGGAGATGCAAATGAAATGAGTTTCTATTTTAAGTGAGATCGTTCGATTCGCAGCGAGGAAAACCAATCCATGTTGCGGTACAACTCGACCAAGTACACAAAGGTTGTCAAAACTAAGGATGTCATCGAAGATATCGAAAATAACAACAGCAATACGAACTTGGACGGTCTGTACGAGGTGGAAAATGTCATAAATCGATACTCGTCGAATCGGAAAGCAATTTTTGCCCAGGTAAATGGACATTCGTAGGAAATTTGGAGTGCGATTTGGAGGGTTTCCTTATTATTATTGCAGTGCTTGGTAGCTGGCGCAGTTTTATTATTGGCAGCCGGTGCTGGGATGCCCATCGGTTACAGCGCTGTACTTTTGCCACAATTATCCGCGAAGAATACAAGCATGTACGTGGATCGCGAGCTCGGATCGTGGATAGGCAAGTAATCAATCGTTCTTCCTAAATGTTATGTTTGTGTAAAGCTACGTAGGATTCATTGGTACACTCGCTAATAGTTGCTTTTTCACGGGAATAATCGATCATTCCCTTTGTTGGATCGCCGGAAACTACTCGTAACGATTATTACACCTCGAAATCCAATCTAATTATTTTCCTTCTTTAATATTCGATCTTATTTGGAGGACTCTCGAAAAATCAAAGCAAACGAATATAATATGGTTCGATTGTTTCTTGAATTTCATTAAATTAGATCTTCGGAAAAGTGTCTTTTCGCGACTAAAAGTATTACGATAGATGGGCAAACGGATTGCATTCCTTGCGAGAAAATTGGGACACTGCGGATAAGAAAGGAATTGAACGTTGTACCCTTTGTATTTTCCGTGGTTCTATACGGCTCCATAAATGGTCAAATGTTTGTTTTAATGTTTCGTCTATCTAACGATTAGAATCCATTAAAGCGAGCTCGATGCGTTTCAATTGATACGAAAATTGGTCTTTTATAATAAAGGAAGAAATAAAAATAAATAAATAAAAATTGTCCATAGCATCGGTCCATAGTTTGGCAACTCCGATAGGATCGCTTCTCTCGGGTCCATTTCTAGACGCATTAGGGAGACGAGGATGCTTGCAATTATCCTCTATACCACTTTGCCTCGGCTGGATCGTAATGGGTTTCGCCGAAAACATTCCCACTTTACTCGTCGGCCGTATCATCTCCGGTTTCGCAGTCGGATTTATGGCTGTACCGAGTCAGGTAAAAAACATTATTACACTTTTCTGCTGTAAAATATTTCGGTAGATAACGTTGAAAAATCGTGTCAATAGGTACTCGTAGGAGAGACCGCCGATCCAGGACTTCGTGGAATTTTATTTGGGAGCGCTTTTGCAGCCTACAGTTTCGGGATACTTTTGATTTACGCTTTCGGAGCATCCTTCGAATGGAACGTCGTTGCTTTTTGCGGCACCGTTTTACCCATTCTTGCCTTTACCTCATTTTTTTTCGTACCGGAAAGCCCCGCTTGGTTGATTAGACAAGGAAAGATCGAAAAAGCGAAAAGCGCTTTGTTGTGGTTGAGAGGAGGCGATACAAAACAGGTACAACTGGCATCCATTCATTTCATATCGTTTCATTAGAGATAATACGCTGACGCTTCGTGCTTCCAGATGAACACGGAAATATCTATATTGGAAGTCAGAGCGAAGCACGATGCTGGACAGAAGTCATTAACAACGTCATTTGGTCAACGAGTATCCTCGACGTTGTCCACTATCGTTAGCCCTAACGTGCTTAAGCCCTTGTTCATCATAAACATCTTCAACGCTTTGCAATTAAGTAGCGGGACCTACGTAATAGTCTTTTACGCGGTCGATCTCGTTCGAGACATCGGTGAGTTGCGTATAGCGTTATCTCGAACTTTATATATGTTACGGTCAATGTATATTTCGATCATGTTTCTCATACATTGCCCCTAACATATATAACATATATACCTTCGAGAAAAACATTTTTCAATTACATTTGTATTTTCGTTTGGTCATTTTCCTATCGTCGTACAGGTGGCAAAAATATGGACAGTTATGTAGCCGCCATAATAACGGCATTGACAAGATTCTTTTTCTGTCTGCTAGCTTGCATCTTACTTCTTAAAATTGGCAGACGTAGTCTTGGTATTTTTTCAGCGATAGGTACGAGTCTTGCTTCGCTCATACTCGTGGCATATACTATGATAAAGGAAGAAGAATCCGATATGGATGTAAGCCGTTTTATTTTCTTCTCCGATTGGATATATTTTGCATAGATGTCAAATTAACGCATTTTATATTTCAGGCATACGTTCTTGGTATATGTTTGTTCGCTTACGTTGGCACCAATACCGTAGGTTTGTTCACGCTCCCGGGCTTGATGATCGGCGAATTGTTACCGCAAAAGGCTCGAGGTATCGCCGGTGGTTTCAATTTTTTTATTTTCAACTTTTTATTATTCCTCGCAACGAAATTTTTCCCAATGGTATTTATACTTTTGACTACTTTTCAATAATTTGCATAGATATGCCCGTATTCAAGATAATGTTCTATTATATTGAATTGTAGATAAATAATGCGGTAGGTATAACCGGTGCCTTTGCTATTTTCGGCATATTTGCGTTATTAGAGGCAATTTTTGTCTACATTGCACTGCCAGAGACAAAAAATCGTACGTTGGAAGAAATCGAAGATTACTTTCAGGTAAAAACAAAGAATACATAGCTTACTCGAAATAAAAACGCATCGTAAGTTATTGTTCGCCACATTTTTTTTCAGCAAAGTAATTTACTGTGGATTACCAGATCGAAAGAACAAAGACAAAATAATGGAATTATCGCGAGGCATTCTTAATTATTGTCCGCTGTCTCGCAGGTCGTGTGTAAATAAATGCGTTTGTTAATTTATACCAATATCGAATTTATCTCCTTTTGAGAATAATTCGTATTTTTGATAATTGTTATTAGTAACGTAAGTTGTATAAAGATACCATTGAAATATATAATGATGTTAAAAATATAATACAATGTTTGATAAACATTAAACTCATTGTACAGAACGATACTTATTTTACAGACTTCACTTTTATTTGTCGATCCATTTGCACAGATATGTTGAATAACAATGTTTACTTCTTCTAGAAGATAAATATATATAACAACTTTCTATTCCGTTTAATGAAACTTCGTTTCGCATCAGATAAACCCTGTATACACCTATCTTGTGAACAATATGTCATAGTTATAAATATAATTGTCGCATTAGATGTATTATTTTTGTACGATAAATGACACTTTAAAAAAGAAAAAAACCAACAAAAAATAGTAGAATACTTTTGATCTACGCAATGAAGCTGTTTCTAATAATACGTAACGTGAATACATCGTTATTACGTAAATTGATCACTTTAAGGTACTTAACAAATGAACTTTGTAATATGACCGCATAGTATACAGTTTCCTTTTTAAGCGTGTGGATTACGGAATTTTTCTCCGGCGAATTTGGCAGCTGATCCAAGTTCTTCCTCTATACGAAGGATTTGATTGTACTTGGCTAAACGTTCGGAACGACATGGTGCTCCAGTTTTAATTTGACCAGTCGACAGGCCAACAACCAAGTCAGCGATGAACGTATCTTCAGTTTCTCCTGAACGATGAGACACCATAGTGCCCCATCCATTTTCTTTACCATATTTGTGAGCAGCGATCGATTCGGTAACCGAACCAATTTGGTTGACTTTTAACAAAAGGCAATTGCAAGCCTTCTTCTCGATCGCTGTCTTGATTCTAGAATATGAAATAAGACGTATATGTGAAATATAAGATTCGAAATAGTTTTCTTCGCTTCTCGCTTACCTAGTTGGGTTTGTCACAGTAAGATCGTCTCCCACAATCTGAATTGGGGTAGCAGCTGTCAAGGATGCCCATGATTCCCAAGCATCTTGATCGAATGGATCTTCGATCGATACGATCGGATAATTTTTCACGAAATCCAAATATAAGTTTTGAAGTTCTTCCGGCTTCAAATACGCGTTAGGGTCGGACTTTTCGTTCTTGAAATCTAAATCGTACTTTCCGTTTGTGTAGAATTCGGACGCAGCCACGTCCATACCAATCTTTATTTTTCCTTCATATCCGGCCGTCTACGGGTTTACGAATAATCGTTATATCGATTGATTATCGAATAAGAAAAATATTTAACAAATAATTCCACCAAAGTATTTCTAATTCTTACTTTAATGGCATCCATGATCAAATTCAAAGCTTCTTTGTTTTCCAAAATGTTTGGAGCAAAACCACCCTCGTCGCCGACAGCTGTAGCATCCAAGCCAAACTTCTTTTTAATTCCTGCTTTGAGGTGGTGATATACCTCGCTGCCCATTTTCATAGCTTCGGTGAAGCTGGAAGCACCGGTCGGTAAGATCATGAATTCTTGCATGGCCAATTTATTGCCAGCATGGGATCCACCATTGATTACATTGAAAGCAGGAACTGGTAAAATGATATCATTGTTTCCAGCCAATTCTGCGATATACCTACAATTCAAGAATACAAATAATACCATCGACTACTGATTCTAACATCCTGTATCACATATATATGATCTTCAGCGACGTACTTGTATAGTGGAATCCCTTTCTTAGCAGCTCCTGCTTTACAGACAGCCAGTGAAACGCCTAAAATTGCATTGGCACCAAGTTTAGATTTGTTAGGAGTACCGTCTAATTTAATAAGGAAATTGTCAATTTCGGTTTGTTGAGTAATTTCCAAGTTGGCCTAGAAAAATATTCGTATCGTTGTCGTTCCATATACACGTATATACATATCGAAATCGTTGTCAACAAGGCTTATATACCTTCAATAATTCAGGAGCAATAATAGAGTTAATGTTATCCACAGCTTTGAATACGGATTTTCCATGATATTTCGATTTATCATTGTCTCGAAGCTCCAGAGCTTCGTGAATTCCCGTTGAGGCACCGGATGGTACAGCAGCCCGGAAAAGACCACATTCTGTGACTAGGTCAACCTGAAAATTAACCGATAACATTATAACATCCTGTGAATTTCATGAGAAAATAAATATTAGAATTTTCTTCAAATAAAATGCATTCTTACCTCTACGGTTGGATTGCCACGAGAGTCATAAATCTGACGAGCCTTGATACTCTTAATTGCCATATTGTTGATTATATCGCAGTTCACGGATGAAAATCTATAAATAACGTGACATGATTACAACTACCACCAATAATATATCAATTAAAAGTTTATCTATATGCGCGAGCTTCTAGTATTTCTATTAATATAATCTCTCTCCAAAGGTATATTGAAGGAAATATTTACAGTTTTGATAAACGATGATATTAAAGAATTAAATTACTATGCTCGGGATGTTACTTTGTCAGAAAATACACGCCTTTGAATAACTTTTAACCTTGACAAGGTCAACGCTAAGAGGACCCACTTAAGTGCATATATAGATGTATCAATGATAGAGACTAGTCGACATCTTGCCTTTTTTTTAAATATCTAGACACTACAAATAAATCACGACACGATAAAAATAAATAACACAAGGATTTCTTATTTTCGTATTGAAAATTACCGGTACGCCAGAAAATCTTATTCGACATGATGCTAATTGATCGTTCAAATATACTCTTACAATTGCAATTAAATCCGATCATGATGACGATCAAAAAAAAAAAAGGAAATTGAATTAAATGAAAGAAGATATTTATGAAAAAGTAGTATATTATCAAATGACACTTATGCAATGAACGTAAAGATATCCGTTCGCTTACCAAACGTAACGATCTACTCGGATGGTTGGAACCAGAATGAAGTAACAAACTATCGATATTCTTCTATCTTATTTCGAATCGACTTTTATCGATATTCTTCCATTTTATATCGAATCGACTCTTATCGATATTCTTCTATCTTATTTAGAATCGACATTTCGAAAGTTGCTATTGGTCAGAACTTAAAACTCTTGACCCCGAATTTCCCTATATGAAGACACGAGGATGTTATTTATAAAGTAATGATTAAAAATCTAACGAAAACATTGTTATAACACATTTAATATTGAAACAGACTTTATTCAAATTACTAATGAGTTCTACTCTAACGGAAGAAGGAAAGAAGATCTTTCACGTATTGAGGTTAGAAAAATGTTGTTTAAGATGTTGTTTACGTTTCACCGGATGCAACAATCCCAAATATTATCAAGATCTGGACGAATTGAAAAACCTTGTATGTTGTTTATTTCTTATTTCATAGATTAATAACTTTATATGCTATTTATTACGTTTGATTTACTAGATACAATCTTCAGAAGAGAAACAAGTATGCGTCAAGGAAACAGATCTTCCTTGTATTGCTTGCTTAGGTATCCTTCAATCTAAAATAGAAGAAAGTGTAATAAAAAGAGTAAGTCAAGGGTAAATATTTACCATTTATTCTTTTTCCATTGCGAATGAAAGTATTGGAAATGTTAAGTAGTATATTTTAAATATGCGTCTGTATATGTAAATGTATAATGGAAGGTAAATATTGTTTTCAGATTAAACAAAAAGTACAAAATGAAAATTATGATTGTTCAACGTTTACTTGCGCTTTAACCGTACCTATATCTCTGTTTCTCAGAGAAAGATCGTTGCATATATATGTTGCCAAAAAGTTAAATCTAACTAAAGATGAATATAGTACCCTTAAATATAAAACACTTAATGTCAAAGACATATGGAAATGGATTGCTCTTCCTAAATTGGAAGATATCATTGGAAAACGTCCTGATTTAACAACGCCGTCTCCATTTTTGCTAGAAATTTTTTTTTTATACGTAAATGATGAAAATGAATGTTATACATTGTACGTTATATCTTGTATTATTATTTAAAAAACGTAATCTACACAAATATTTTCGTTGTTCTTTCAGATTAGATCAATTGGGAAATAATTATGACGAATGTTCTAAACAAGAAAGAATGAACAGGAAAAGAAAGTATGGTAACAATAAATGTAGTAGAAAAAACATAGAATCTGTGATGATTAGTATAACTGATGAAATGTTTCAAAAGTATTACCTATTTCCACCCACGCAACCAGATTCTTTTATAAATATTGAAAAAGTCCTGTGCTCTCACAGTAGTATTTTTATAGGAGGTGTGATAATTGTTAATAATTTTCTATAAGAAATAATAAGAAATTTAGCATTTTATATGTATTTGTATTGTTCATTTATATTAGGACGCTATAATAAGCTTTCTCGACAACTTTGTCAAACGCCCTGGTTCATAGACGGTGAAAAGAAAATGGAAACATCTGTGCAAGACATAATATGCGAACCCATTGTTAAAGCTGTCAAAGCTGAATGTAATTTAATAATTTAATTTAAAACAAAACAAATGTAAATGTATGATTATGCTCATCAATAAATAATGTATTGTATATGTATATATATATATATATATCTGTTATAGCAATCAAATTTCAATCTTCTGGAAGAGAAGATGTTGATGTAAGAAACATACATTCCGGTAGACCATTTGCAATTGAATTAATAAATCCTCGAATTACGAAGATAAGTACTGAACTTTTATCAAGCTTAGTAACTATCATCAACGATAGTTCTACGCAAGTTAAGATAACAACTAATTTGAAATTACTAACAAGGTAAGAGTTAATAAACGTGACAAATTTATTTGAAGTATAATTCTTTAGTAATTTAATTTGTTTTATTTTTAGGGACGATTTAAAAAAGTTAAAAGAAGGTGAAAATGTTAAAACAAAATTTTATCGAGCGCTTTGCGTATGTCGCAACGCACCGCAAGACAAATCAAACATTGAATTGTTAAACGAGTTAAAAAACGTCGAAATAATTCAAAAAACACCGATTCGAGTTTTGCATAGACGTCCATTGACTCCCCGTGTACGTTACATATACGATATGCGCGCTCGATGGGCTAAACCACAAGAATTATTAAATTTACCAAATGCACCCACCGATACCGATAATATGTTTTTTGTATTGGATGTAAGAGCACAAGCTGGTACTTATGTCAAAGAATTCGTTCATGGAGATTTTGGACGAACAAAACCAAGTTTGTGCGATCTTTTGAATACCGAAGTAGATATTGTTGCATTGGATGTTACAGGCATCAATTTAGATTGGCCATAAAAGACTATTATCTAATTTCTGCATCGCGTGCCCATATATGTATCATAAAAAGAGAAAAAATCAATAGGAAAAATAAAATAATTAATCAAATTGTATGACACAATAAAAATGTTATGATTTTATGCAAGAGGACCATGTATGATATAATATACACGTTCCTTGAATTAGAATTTATATTTGCATCTAATTACTCTTATATTATTAAAACTTTTTAGGCATAATTTTGTATTATCCTTAATTTGCTAATATATATATATATACAGATTGGTCGTATGTATCAAAATAGTTATACATTTGAGCAAAATGAAACATAACAAACGAATATCAATTGAGCCACGAGGCAACGTTAAATATGACGTTTTTACGTAATCATGTGTATGTAGATCATTTTGCATCATTCTTATGTTCTTGTATCCAGAAATGTTGCTTTACAGCTGCTAATGATATTCTTTCAGAACCTTTTCTTTTGATTAACTGAAATTATAAATTCAAATATAATTCTCTTCTCCCTAGCACTTAAAGTTAAATGTTACCTTTGAAATAAGATCTTTGGCACCGGGTTTAATTTGTTCCGGCCATTGGATATTTAAATTTTTTATTTTCACATATGTTTCTTGTTGAGAATCGCTAAGAAATGGCGGTCTCCCTACTAGAAATTCATAGCAGAGTATTCCAAGGCACCAATGATCAACATATACATCATATGTTTGTCCAGTTACCATTTCTGGGGGTAAATAATCCAATGTCCCGCATAATGTATTCCGTCTAAAATAATACATTTAATAATGAACATATTTAAAATTAGTAAGTAAAAATAAAATATATTTGAAACTAACTTTGACGAAGGCGCATGAACTGACCATCCAAAATCTGCCAATTTGACATCGCCATTAAATGTGAGCAATAAATTTTCTGGTTTAATATCTCTATGGATTACATTATTTTTATGACAATATTCCAAAGCGTCAGCTACTTGATACGTATACTTGGCCGAACTATAAAGTAAAATACAAAATAATCCATGTCATAATCGCAAGTTAAAAAGTGAAATTATTCAAAATATTTACAGATGCTCGTTAAATCTTTCTCCAGGTTGACGTTTTAATTCTTTATAAAGTTCTCCTCTCGCAGCAAACTCTAATACTAAGTAAATTCGTTTGTGGTCATGAAAAAAAGTTAATAATTGGAGAATGTGTGGATGCCTGTAAGAAAAAAAAGAAAGGGAAATGTTTAAACACGTCATTTAAAAGAGAAAACTAAACGTGCTAAATTAATTAATATTAATTCACCGTAAATGCGATTGTATCTCTATTTCACGCATAACTTGTTTCTCAACACGACCTTTTATTAATTCTACCTTATAAAGAGTTTTTAATGCAATCATGTAACGAGTATTCTTTTCTCTAGCAAGATATACTCGACCAAACTTTCCACGTCCAAGAGGAGCCCCTATTTCAAAATCATTCAAGCTCCATTGATATCTGCAAAATGGATAAAATAAAATCACGAAATTGTTTGATCATATTTAATACTTTGTAATAACAAATTTTGAAGTATATTTTTCTATACCCACTTTGAACCACGGCCATCGATATGTTCTTGCATTTTATACATCGTATTTTGTGCATTTTCGATGTATTCTGAAGGAATGTTTGAAGGTAATTTAAGATTTTGAAAAATCAAGGCCATGTTTAAATAATAATTCTTTGCTTGTATATTGTTAATTTCCTAAAATAAAAACAAATCGTGCACGAAACTTCAAAATTAATGTATACTAGAGAAACATAATATAATGCATTAATAACATATTGTATTAATAAATACCTGTGAAAAGAATTGTTAAAAATACTTAGATTTTAGAATAACTTAATTATATTATATTTCTTGAAGAAAAGAAACAAACAATTGAAAAAGTTTATTCGAATTTCTTCATTGATTCACCGTATAACCGACATTTCAAATATCTTTGCGATTAGTATAAGTATTGTGTTAAGATATTCGAATTGGAATGACAATGTGACCAATCGTAAAAAAAAGAAAATGAAAAAACCCCAAATAGAGCTTACGTATAATTTGATCACTAGAGTAGATGTCACCACAGTTTTTGTGACACCCTAATTTAGGGAATATAAACATCTCATTAAAATTCATATGAATTAGTGTGTGATGTGAGGCGTGTCTTTTGGGTGTGTGTTATTTTATACGTTGACTCGTATTTTTTTTATACATTGCACAATAATTCTTGTCGGCAATAATAAGATTTTCATTGAAAAAGTTTGTACGGTAAGTTTCTATAATAATATATGAAAAATAATGTATAAAGAGATAATGTGCATATAGATGAATTTGCAAGCATGCTTTGTTTAATGTTTTTGTGTAGAAGAGAAAATAACAATGAATTATGGAAAAAGATCGCCAAGTATGGGAACACCTTCGGTTTATTCTCACGTTACATCAAGGAGCAGCGCAAATCTCAGATCTTCTAGATCTGTACGCAGCGTTAAAATACCTTGGTATCAAAAACCGATTTTAAAGCACGCTTATATACTAGACATTCAGAGAGGAGCTATGCTCGTAGCAGTATTTGCATTGGTATTTATTCGACGATGTTAATTTTACGAGGTAAAAAAATGTATTTATATTGAAGATTTAATTCCTTTCCTTAGTGTTTGGCACTTTTCACCATGTGTACGGTCATATTCGACATCTATTGCCTTTCTCAAGCTACACCTGGTTCCACTCATTACGGATACTATATTATATCGTATGAATTTGTTTATATCGGCAATCAACACGGTAGGTTGTAAGATTATTACCTAATAATCATTCAAATATTTGTTAAATATTAAGAAAATCTTTTGATTTCAGTTCGTAATGCTCTCATAGTTTTTGCCTTATTCTCTATGATCGGTGGGATAGTAGTTTTTATTACTTCATTGATGCTTATTACTGCATTGCGTAAGGAATATGAAAAGAAAATGGTGCCGTGGTTGTATAGTTTTGCCGCATTTACCATATTCCGTCTTTTTGCTTTCCTGTTCTTTAGTATCGTGAATGATTTGATATTTGCATACAATATCATAATATGTTTATTGTGGATAATATTTATTTCATTTTCCGTCTATGGATGGTTAATAGTATATTCCCTCTATATTGAACTAAGCGACTTGACTAGATTAGAGGATTTAGCACACTTGAGGGTAAGGAATCATTTAATTTCAATCATTTGAACGAGTCCAACTAAAAGATTAACGAGAAATGTATATATTATTTTGTTTTAGATCGGTACTATGCAATCTTTAAATGCGTCGACAACGCATTCTATCGCTGGTTCTAGGCCTACAACGCCGCATAGCACGGTATCGACGATGCCTGTCAATTAACGTCGCTAATTACTTTTCTTAATGGGAAGTAAGAGAAATTTCATGCTTGTGACTGAATGCATTTTTCATGCATTCAAATTTTTATCGAATCTCAGATATCAATTCCGTCCCAATGTTTATTAAAAATATATCTGTAGTATATAGTATTTTATTTAAAAGTATTAAGAATTAATATTATCACACGGTCGGTATTATTGTGCCGCTAGTGATATAAAATCATATGTTAAAATATGTATTATATATAAAGCATTGTAAGTATTTTGACAAAGTTGTCAGATTTTTATAAATACGTATATTTACAAAAGTTTCTATGTATATTGCCAGAATAGTATAAATAGAGATAGTAGATTTCTGATAAAGATCGAATAAGATACTGTTAGGAGTTTGCTCGAGTCAATTCATATCGTCAATTAATATCGTCGAACAAACGAAAATGATATGGTTGAAGAATTTTAATAATTATATATTTTATTTGTTTTCGCGTATTTTTACTTTGGCATTCTTGAAAAGAAATATTTATAAAATAAATTATAATACTAAATTGCACGCTTATCCATGAGAATGCGAAAACACGCGATCGGACCACGTGTACCTGGGTTAAGAAGATATTTTTAATAATATTTTAAAAATTGTCCAGAAACCCCCTAAATAGAGGAGTATTTTGAAAATTTGATGTATCCAGTACAACCTGTAACACAAAACGATTAAAAAGAAGATAAATATTATTTATTAAAGCAACCAAAAAAACAATAGACTTACCTTTTAAATTTTAATTTACTTCTCTCTAAGGTATCTTTATTTTCCTTAAATATATAAGTGCGTACTCCTTTCATATATTTATGTAAATATTCCTGCCAGTCAAAATTGGCCATACTAAATCTAAAAAGTTGTTGATCTTTCGAATGTAGTCTTCCCCACATATTTTGTACATTGTCGTTAACAAATTTCCAATTTCTGGTACTGAAGAATGATAATATCTCAACGAAATTGGTAATTTTGTTAATTGTTTTCCGCATTCTGTAAATAATTCGAATGAAATAATTAACTTCTTGAATATCATTGAGTAATAATTAATTAAAGAGACGAAGACGAAGAAGAAGCATTGCTTTACCTCGGCTTCTTGCCAAAACAAAATAGAGCGATATCAATGAGAGACGCGGGTACCGTGTGAAAAATCAAAGATAAGATTTTATATAAGAACTTATTTTTGGTTGTTACTATAGTTGGATACCATATGATATTGCTCGAGGGATATTGACAAATATAAGGATAACAAAATTTATTATATTGGTCCCATGTTAGCGGTGCTTCAGCCGATGCTACGACATTATAGATGAGCATGTTGTCTCCTTTTCTGTGTAACGATAATTCATTATAATTATTTAAATGTAATTTCAAGAAATAACATTAGAGGATCGATATTACCTATTATCGTGCAAGTAAATGTCCCATGCGGATGCGATAATGGCATTGACGGTAATATCGACGGGTATTATATCAGCGATATTATTAGCGTCACAGTACATGACCCTTAAAATACCGCTCGAAACGGCAGCGGCTATCCCGTTTGGTCCGTAGACGTTGTCTAGCCATCCTTCGACAGGTTCGTACGCCGTCGATATAACTGCGATTAACAAACGCACAAACATAATCTCTAGATTATAATTATATATAATATATTTGAAAAGCGTTAGATTTTGCACGTTAAATACGTATTACTATTAATTTTGAAATCGACATTTGTGTTTAGGAATGCCGATTATTTCGGGATCTGATTTGCGGCTTCGATTTATTTGGATTTTTTTCAAAAGCTCGTTTCAAAGGAGTCGCTGAAGTTGATTTAGATGTTCGCGAGGGTGTTAAAGATTCGAGCGAGATTCTGCTCATGGCGGCCAGATCCTCCTCGAAATCGGGATAATCTTCGGGATACATGGTTTCGAATGGGACGACGGTGTAAGGAACGATTTGTTTCTTGGAACGTGCGACCGTATAAATGAGAGCGCAAACGAAAAGAATACTCTTGCCGAGAAGCGTCAGAAGAAAAATACCGATGGCCATTGCGATTTGCCACAAAAATGATATGGTCCCGGTAACGAGATACATGCCGACCGCTAAACACATTTTATCTCCCGCTAAAAAGATTAATAAATCGACTCATATTTTCTTTCATGCGTCAGATTTGTGATTTTGCCATTTTCCAAAACAAAAGGACACTCTCTATTTGGAAGAAGAGAAACAAAAAAAAGATATATATTTGCTCACCTATGGCAGGTCGAACTATTCCTATTGGTAGATTTCCGTGCTTCTCTTTTATCAGACTTTCCGCCATAGCTTTCGTAAACGTATACATATTTGGCCATTTGCTTGTCACGCTATAGAAACGATGGGAATAACAAATAAGTATAAATTATAACGACGTTAAAAATATCACTCTTACCTCTGAAACTTATTCTCGAGTTCTTCTTCCGACAATATTTCCGTTAATCTCATGAGTTCTTCGTGATGAACGGAATATTTGTAGAAGCGTTCTTCGATTTGTTTTTCGAAGCAATTCGCATAGGCTGTGGATACATGAACCAATGCCTGGAAAAGAATTTGTTCATATTTCACAGGACAGGAGGATGAGAACAAAAGGGGAGAAAAAGTAGAAAGAAGCGAATAATATTTGCTAAGAGAACCGAGTTTGATCCTCTCAAGACTGAACGTTGACCAACGAGCGTAGAATGTAAGCATTAATACTTACCATATACGTAACATATATATACGACGTCCGTTAGAATAATAATACTTTTCATAGAGAGATCGTGCAAATATTGAAAGCACACTGAGTACGAAAGAATATTTGTCGAAAGAGAAAACGCGCAATTAAGAGAACAAAAAATAACCTTCAGTTTTGGCATAGACTTGCACATTTCCAAAAGATCATTGGTACTTCGAACGTTTATCACGGTTGCGAGCTTCAGTTTCTCATTGAATCGGACCGTCGCTGCTACGTGAAAGACTATCGACACCTGGAGGACATCACGAAAGCAAAGTAATCAAATAAGAATAAGAAAGTTGTTGCGTAGATATTTTAAAAAGTTTGGTCTAGGACGGTCACCTCATTTTCGAGCATTTGACGGTCTTTAGTCGAAAGTCCTAATTCTTCTACGCCGCAATCTCCGCATACAGCCACGATTTTATCCCGATACTTTGGGACCTCTTTCTTCATTCGATCGAATACCTGAAACCCGTTTTCGAGGTTTTTTAGAGCAAGCCCTAAGGTCGGCGAGTAAGTTTCGTTTAGTTCCTAACAGGTTTACTTACGCAGTCTTCGAATAGTTCTTCTATCCTAGCTTCCGCATCTTTTTCTTTTTTCGATCGTATCAGTAAATAAAGGAACGCGATGCCAGGGCAACTGCGTAAAAGTTTCTCTATCAAGATTTTTCCTAAAAAACCTGTTCCGCCTAAAGGACAGAAAGAAAACATACAAATTGATTATAAAGAATAATCATCGAGAATGTTGCCATTAAGAGATACCTACCCGTTATCAATATCTTTTGTTCCATGTAAAATTCTTGAATCGGTGTTCCTCGTCGTTGTTTTTCATCGAAAACATCGTCCAAGATATTATTATTATTATTATTATTATTATTTGTCTCGCCCAAATGAGTTAGTATCGTGCTCATCTTTCCTTCCTATGACTAAAAAAAAAAGAAAAAAAGACTAGTGGAAGAAGGTATAAAGAGATAAAAAATATTTATACGAAGTCTCTCGGTCCAAGGTAATGTCAAGGTTTAACGTCATACGTGTTAATTATGCAAATGAGCGTTTCAAGCACTTTTGAGAAAATTTCGAAGAAAAATATGGTCAACAGATTACATAATTTTAATTGAATTCAATGAGATGCGATATAAAAGTATCAAAATAAGAATAGTAATTGAAATCGAAGAATCCGAAACTCACGTAAATACGGACAATGCTTTAACGCGTATCAAATTTAATGAGGAATATTTCGTAAGCACTCGAAAACTTGTCAACGAATGCAAAGTGCAAGTTATCTTGTCCTCTTTTTCTCTCTATTTTTTTTTTTGTTTTATTTTTTTTGGAAATGACATTGCGTCCATCAATCGGTTATGATTGCAACCTGCTGCGCAATCAATTGAAATGTTGGTCTTCGTGTCAAGGGCACGTGGAAAGTTATCTCTGAGAGTTTTCGTCGTTGTACATCGGCGGCACGTCCGGCTCAATGTTAAACTATGCACATCACCGTTATCCAAAACGAACCTAACGGGTATCCTCGCTCTTGCTCCGTCGAGTCTTTTAGTAAACTCTATAGAATTATAGTTCCCCTTTTCGAATAACCGCTCTAGTAATCAATCAGTATTGTAGAGAAAAAATGTAGACAATATATGCGTTAATATGCGCTTGCACGAATATTACGCAAAGATCGAAGAAACATCGATTGAAATTTCGGCCGAGTTATTTTCTACGTGCGACTTATGAATCGTTAATGCATCGTGAAAGCGTTCTCGTCGTGGATGTCAATGAGGGACGACCGTTTTGACGACCGTTTGGACGACCGTTTGGACGACCTTTGACTCAGCTACGAACAGTTTCCGAAATTTCAACGATGAATACACTTTTTCTTGAAATTACGTATAAATTCGAAAACTATATCCTAGTTGAGTAGTCGAAAATCTCTCGACCCCGAAATAAGACCAACCAAAAATAATCAAAGGAAGAAAAATAACGGTACGAAGGAAAAAGAAAAGAAAAAAAAGTCGGTCGGTCGCGTGTGATACTTATTCGCGAGAGGAATTTGCATCGTCTGTATTTTTCGCCAACCAGCTTCGCTTACGAACTTTTTCAATGTTTTTGCCTGCTTTTTTTTTTTTTCTTCACCGTTCGTTGCCCAAACCGAGCGCGAAAAGTCTTTTTTTTTTTATCTTAAACAAAAGAGAAAGAGGAAGATAGTAATTAAAATGCACCAACTTAATAAGATTCCTTGTCGTAGTTCAAATTCAACGATATCGAAGAGAGAAAGAGAGAGAGTCCTATCCTCGTGACAAAGGACGGATACAAGTACGATAGGAAGTTTAGAGGGAAACTGAACGGTAAATTGATTTCGCTTCCATCTAGTCTCGGTTTTTTACTCACCCCTCCAGTTATATCTTCTTCTTCTTCTTCGAGTCTTGTCGGTGGTCTCTCGTTCTTCCGCGTGTATCGCCCACGAAAGACAAAGATCGACTCTATCGACTTTTAATCTTGTTAATCTTGACACAACGTGTTCCCACTTTCGAGTTTAAGACTCTCCCCCTTCTCCTTTCTTCTTGATCTTTCACTTCCTTTCTTAGTCGCTTATTATTAGTAGTTATATACCTAAGAATTGTTACGACGAAAATAATTCTTTATTCATCCCTCGAAGAATTTTCATATTTTTCAAGTCAACGATTATGTCTGGAATTATTTTTTGGATAACTCTCAAGATCTTCGTTGGTGCGACCTTCTTCTATTCCTTATCTTCTCTATATTATTATACAACTTTCCCATTTATCTTGCATTTAAATATACGCGTAGAAGCATTTTTAAAGTCATATTAGATTTGTTTGCTATACGATAGAATGAGATCGCTAAAAATGGAAGATTAAATTATAAAACGAACGAGACTTGCGATTTCATGTCATTATTTTACAGATGAAAATCGAATTTGATTGAATGTTCGCGAGCTTTACGCGTAGAAGGAACTTATTTATCTGTTTGTTCTTTAGCGAATTAGTTTGCCGTAACGTCTATTTTCATTTTTCTCTTCTTCTCTGACATTTTGTTAATCTTGTATAATTTTAAACTAAACGAAAAAGATGCGAATTGATAGCTTTACGTACTTACATCCAATCATTCATAAGATTTACATAAATGTAAAGAGCTAATTTGAAGTTATTAAATGTAAATGAATTATTTTATTAAAATGTTCATATGTAATTTTGATATCTCTACAACAAACAATCATTTTCTTTGATATATTCATATTTAAAGGAGACATAATGACCAAGACAATTTATTCACGAAGGTCAGTCTACGTTCTACGCATAATTTAATTTATTCTATCAATTATTTTTTTGTACATTTCAAATGTTATTGCATTTTAGTTTCTACGTGAATAAATAAAATATGCATTAAAAAGAAAAAAAAGAAACTTATCGTATACACAACTCTGAGAAATACGGAAAGTAATCTTTAGACTTTTTTTTTTTTCTATCGGCTTAATGTAAATATTTTACATATACATATATAGATATCTTATTGTATTTTACGCCTACTCATTCTTTCCAACTATTTCCATTTGTCATTTCAATCGTTATTTCGATCGTCATTTCAATCGTCATTTCAATCGTCATTTCAATCGTCATTTCAATCGTCATTTTAGGTGCCATAAATATGATAGCATTATTCCTTGTTAGATTACTAAAAAAAATAACCATTCTATCTATAATGATATACCAAAAGATAGAGTGCGGATGAGCTGCCTTGAACTTTTTTTAATTATCTGTCTTCATTGGATTGAAATATTTTATTGGAATGCTAATAGAATTTTATTACATATAAACATGATGTTTCAAATTATTGGCATGCATAATTTCATGAAATAATTCAAGAGAAACGATAAAAACATCACAAGAAAGTCTATTAACGAATGCGGACAGTTAACAAGAATAAAATAATTTCAATGAATAAAACTATAGAAAATAAGAAGAGCAAGATTATGATTTCAGGCTGATCAAAAATTAGATTATAATAAATTTAGGAGAAACAATATTGCAAATATATCGTCATTCTCGTGTTTAATCGATGAAGAAAGAATGTTTAGCATACACTTCCTTATTAGGTTTTACCGATACTTTTGCTGGAGTACTAAAGCCTTAAATATTCAGATACAAAGCATTCTTCAAGATATGTAAAAATGTTGAGAAACGCTTGCTCTTGAATTTACATTTATATGATTCCAAGTTTTTCTGCAATGGTTGAAGAAATGATCATTTTTCTATGCACAGGAATTATAAAATGTATTTATTCATTTATTTTGTAGGTTTTTGGCAATTATAATAAAAAGGACAGTACACCAAGTTAAAGGAATCACGAAGGATTTCAAAAGAAAATGCTAAGCAATTGATCTCTCTTCCTCTATCGAATGCCGTTTCATAATATTATTTTTCCTTTGCTCTTTGTATCGCAAAGAATATGAATATTTGATTCGCAATTTGTACGCAATTGCATATTTAGAATTACGCTTGTATTTGAAAAGCGTTGAGATGAGCGCTTCGACTATTTCTCAGTCTTTCTTTATTCCGGATCTCTTTTCTAAGTACATAAATATGTAGAGTTATGAAAATGTACATCTATTTATTAATTCATCGTATGATCTGACGTTTTTAATAATGTACATTAGCCTTGAACATATGCCTACTGACTTGAATCATTATCCAAATCGCTTATTATTATTAACAGAGCTCGATGCATATTTCAATGTTCTAATCTTCTATTCTTAATTGATCGGAAACTCGAATCAAATAATTTGAATAATAATAGCCAAATTTAATAAATATTCGATTGACTTAAAGTTAGTAAATATAAGCTGTATAATATATTTCCAATGGTAAGAAAAACATAGTTTTGTATTATATCTACGTATGTAATAGAGAATGAGCAGACGAATTTGTGATGGAGTAAGATTATTTTCAAATCTGCATAGTCACGGACAAGTTGACTAATTAAACCGAAATTCATGATTTTTATAATCTTTGATATTCGTTTTACTTGCATTCCTAACTTTGTGGAAGGGATTTTAAATACGTATACAGAGTTCTCTTAATATTCGTATAAGTATACGTTTCGAACTTGACATTTTTCGTAACCGGCAAAAATGACAAAAAAAAACTGCAACAATTGTTTTTGTCCGTATATCGAAGAACATTCCGTACTTTATTGAATGACTAGACTTGACTTTTAATCTGAAAAATTTGTAATCTTTCGAAACACAAAAGGCTGTAGACAAAATTGGAAATGTTTCTTTCTAGGTCTGTAAGTTTTGCCGGCAGGTATAATAATTACTGGAGTATCAGCTTTAGTCCAAGAGTACTAAAGACCAAAAGGATAAACGATAAAAGAAGAAAGATAAGGAAAAGGATTATAATTGTATTTTGACTCTTTCCAATCATTCCGCTCTTCTTTCTCCGCCCTGTTAATAGATCCCTTAACTAGAAGAAATCTTTGATGCTTACTTTGGCGAAAGCGTAAATGACGTTTTTTGCGGCTTGCTTTTTTAAGCGTATCCTAAAGCTACAAATAGTTTAGAAAGTATAGCCCACGTGACGATAAAAAAGATGCACAGGATGAAAAGTTTCAAGCCTTGATGGATCCAATATAACCTAGGAAAATCGATAAATTATTAACAAAATGAATATTTCTATATAAATGAGATCAGAAAAGAAAAGTAAAAAAAAGATACCTTTGCCATCTTATGCGAGCTTGTGGGATCGTTTCAATGGGATCCTTTAAGACATATATTCTTATTCCAAGGAGATAGGTTTGAAAGAAGGTATCCCAAACGAGTTCTTTCATATTACAAAAGAACAATTCATGATCTTCGATCGATAACTTGTTGGTAAGTCTATTCAATCTGCAGTTCGTAAAATTCCATTCGATCGTACTAAAGTGACTAAGTATGTCCATAAATTTGTGAATTTTATTATATATTTTGAGAAACCTTGAACATGAAAAATAATTGTCAAGAATATTTCTCTCTCTCTCTCTCTCTCTCTCTTTTTCTCTGAATGTTATCTCTTTAAAAAATAAGATTAACTAAATAAAAGATTTACTTTGGCTGTTTGCCCACGCACAGGGCAACTGTATCGATTATAAGAGCTGGCAATAAATGTGCAAAATAAACGTAGAAGAGATGGACCAGCCGATATTTATTATTTCGAAAACTATAATACCCAATGGATTCCATAGTCGGTGTTAATAATCCGTACTTGGACGACATGTTTTTCAGTTCGTCGTAAGTGATCGGATTATCTATAGATACGTAATTGTAAATGGGAATATCTTGGTTGGATCTGAAAGGAGTAAATTAAGGAGTAATGAAATATGTTAAACTATCGACTTGACGTTACCTTGAACTATTAGCAATGTCCCAGGCACTAGCGATTAACGCATTTATCGTCAAATCTCCGGGTACCACGTTGACTTTTATCGATCCGTCGCAATAATGGGATCTTATTAATCCCAATCCAGCACCTGCCGTTATTCCTATCGGTCCGTACATGTTATCAACCCATCCCCGAATAGGTTCTCGATAAGTAGATATCACTAGAAATATTACATTTCATTAATTACCGATAATACAAAATGTTTATTTCGATCGTGGACGGTACCAACCAATTGCTGGACGAAATATTCCAATCGGCATCGTGTCAATCACCTTTTTCACCACATTTTCGGCAACTGATTTAGTGTAAACGTAAGTATTTGGCCATTTTCCAAGTAATCTACAATTGGACAAATCTTTGACTATATATTTTGCTTGAATAAATCGATCTGAAAAGGGATGATGGTAAAACGTGGTAAGCGGAGATCGAAACGTACTGAGGGGTAATATCGTCGAGCATTTTCTCCTCCAAGCAGTCTATCAAGTTGATCAACTTGTCGGAATCTATTGGCGGATCGTAAAACTTTTCCTCGATCGGATTCTCGAGACAATTAGCAAAAGCCGTCGACACATGGACAAAACTCTGAAATAGGCAATACGAGTAATACTCGTCAGACCTTTATTTTCTATGTTTCGAGAATAAAACTTGTTACCTTACCTTCAATTTCGGCATTTCCTTAGACAAGCTTATCAAATCTTTGAGACTTCTAACGTTGATAGCTACTGCCGTTTTAATTTTCTCGTTGAACTTGACGGTCGCGGCGACGTGAAAAATGATCGAGACCTCGCGTATGAGAGTAGCTCTGTCGATCATCGATATGCCAAGATTCGGCAACATGCAGTCGCCCTCGATCGCGACTATCCTATGACTGAATTTTGGTTGCATCTCTTTCACTTTACTAAATAACTGGAAAACGCGTCAACATTATTTTAGATTCTCAAATTTTCATTCAGATAGTAATAAGAAAATAACTAACCACATCGTCTATGAGTTCCTCGGTTCGTTGAATCACGTCCTTGTCTTTCTTCGAACGTACCAAAATGTAAATGCAATTGATGCCGGGGCATCCCCTTAATAACTTCTCGATTAATAATTTGCCTAGAAATCCTGTTCCCCCGGTTAGGAATACGCTTTGACCGTCGTAGAACTCCTGAATGGATGTTAGCTTCTCGACGAGCTCGGTGGACGATTGCATATCCGTAGGCGCATATTCCGTTGGCGTGTCTGCTCTCGAAACGCTTTTTGGGACGACCACTTCTTGTCCGCCCGCTTCTAACAGTACTTCCACCATTTTTGCTTTTTCTATTCTATTATTTGGATCTGAAACGTAAGCGTTAGAATGTCGTCAAGAAGGAAGCTTCATAATTGGATAAGCGTAAGACCAATGTTGCAACAAACTACGATGAAATATAATGGTTAAGGGGGATGTCTCTGTTGTTAAAGTTGTTAAACGTTTGACTTGACTTCACTTGACTTGACTTGCAATAATAAATTGACGCGGCTAGACGAGTGAAAGTCGATGGCGAAGTTGATTCGCTTTGAAATCTATTATCTAGATACAATAGTATAAGAAGAATATTCCTCGCACGAGCTCATCGGATGACCTTTACACGAAACGAACTTTAAACAAAATTATTTCTAAAAGTGCTCGGTCACTTTGATTATATAATTCTTTTTTTTTTATCGTTACCTATGATAATTATCTATCATTGTAATATTCGCTTTCGATGACTTTGATCATTCATTTAAATTTACCACATTGATGATGGGAGAGAAGATATATAATAATATATTGTCTTTAGTTAATAAACGAAAAGAAATATTCTTGGAAAGGAAATTTAAAAGAGCAAATTTTTTTTCAACTGGTTGTATGACGTAAAAAATACTTCAAAATTGAAAGAAAATAATGTGTCGACTGAAATGCGAATTAAGCATATTTTATTTAACCATTTCGAATTTCTGAAACTTGTTCAGACTATTAACCGTTCAAATATAGGTTTTTCCAGCTTTGACCACGAATAAACCGTAAATATTTAATGTTCGTCGCAAGACGTCATTCATGGCGGATTCAACGATATTCGAATTTCCTGTCCTTCTTTAACAGGAAACGTTTACAATTGGAAAGTGCAACTAGAGACTAATAGTAAATAGACGATATAGTTTTTTCATCGTGAAATTCGTTTAGATACGTATAATTGTCTGTACTTTCGTCGTTAAATATATAAAAACGTGAAGGGCTTGGTGCGATGGAAAAGCTTATATAAGAAAGCATAATAAAGTTAAGATAAAAAGTAATAAAGTAATGATTGAAAACTATAATCAAAGTCGGAGGAACGGGGCACGATTATGTAAACGTACGAAGAAAAGATAAAATCCTATGGGGCGACGAATATGTGTTTCTATATAAGAAAGTAATTAGAAGTAAAATATTTTCTCTCTTCGTTGATGTCCTTTCGATGCCACCGTGAGAACGCGCGCGCGCGCGCGTGCAAGTACATTTGATAAATGTCTCTATGTTATATTGCATAATCAACATTGAGGAAGAGAGAGAGAGAGATTAGAAATGATTACAATTTCGTATCATAGCAGGTAGGTGAAAATGAAGAAAGTTAACGCTTTATTAGATACATCGCGTCGTTCGTTACGCGATTGAACTATGCGATGGAATAACGCCAATGTGATTTACGAAATGGCCCGGGAATATTCTATACGCAGGTGTAAATACATTTATGTTTACGATTTATGTATAATACAAAATGCGGAAGTCGTACGGAGGAAGAAAAAGCATGGTACCAATAAATACGAACGTACGCATACATAAACTGTCAAATGGTGCGTTTTACGCAGGCTCAAAATGACGCGTGCTGATTTAATTATCGATTGCTTGCTTTCTCGATACTTTGACACAGGGTACTTATAATCCACGCTCAAGAAACGAGAGAGTTTCTAATCTACCTGTATACTTTCGCGATAGATCTAGGACGAATTCTTATACACGCGAAGTATTATATTTTACAAATATAATAACAACATTGTGAAACGAAATTTCAAAAACGAAACAAAATCAAATAAAATGATATATAACTTTTCGGTGCAAAGAAATCTTTCCCTCTTTCAATCCGCTTCTCGTTTCTTTCCTATGTACCGTTTCGATATGTATAGAAACTATAGATACCGTTAACGATTATATATACGTGAGAAATATTCGTAAGAAAAATTACGGAACAATTGTAATTTACTGATAATCAAAATAATACAGTTTAATTTTTATACAGTAGTTATTAATTAACGGTAATAAGACAAATAGCCGAATGAATCACAGATAATAACGCGGCAAGATGTATCCTTACACCTTATGAAAGACGCGCGTTTGACTAATCGTAAAACTCACGTTGTTTCGAAGAATATCCAGGGAATCGTTAAGTATTCATCGATTAATCCAATTAACTAACAGCGGGTCGTTAGATCTTGATTTAAATGAAACGCGAACCGATTGTCAAATGATAAACAAAGGAGAAAAATATACACCGATGATACTTATTACAATAACTTGGAAATATTCGTGCGGACTCTTCGTTGCGGACTCTTTCGTTGTACTGTCTTCTCGTTGACGATATTGTCCTCGAATATTCAGCTTAAATTCAAGAGAAGTTTCACTAACCTTATTCGAGCTCCCGCGAAAGCGACACGCGCTCACGTATAAGAGCTAAGAGTAAGGAAAGGTACGAGCGCACAACTAAACAAACCACTGCATAGCTTTCTCTCTCCTCTAGCTTCGGTTCAACTAAATCTTTCTTTTATTCTTTAGATTTGATAAGCACCTTTCGATAATTTATCTTGCCTCTTCTCCAAATGTTTCCTTCCTTCCTTCTTTCCCTCCTTCCGGTGCTTTATTTTGTCTTATATTACTACTAATTAGTAAGCACTATTTTTAATACTACCGCTAATAAATCTAAAAAGATAACTAAAAGATTAAGAAAGGATAGATAGAAATATAAGAGAAGGTAAGAAAATTGAATATCCGAATTGTTTCGATGTCGATCGACGACTGAGACGAAGAAAATGCAGCGTCCAGCTAAAGAACTTAACCGAGCTTGGTATACAACATGATACCTTCTAGCAATGAAGACAGACTTTGTATAACCGGTGGTGGCCGATGAAAAAACCGACTTTACTGCTGAAGAAGGAAAAAAATGATTAATGTAAGAGGTGGTGGAATGAAAAAAAAAAGTGGAAGGAGTGGTGGTCAAACACTTCGCATTTCTCGTTTTTATCCTGATCATTATATCCCCACCACCACCACCACCCCCCCCACCCCATCTGTCTATCTTTATAATTTGTTCTTTTTTTGTTTGTCGTAAGACAAATATTTGTCTTCCTCTAACGAATCAACAAAATAAAATTTTAAATTTATTCAACATAATTGTATAGGTAAAAAACTAAAATTGTTATTTCGTTTATATATCAAGCGCATAAATAGCTTGAAATAGAATATTTATAAAGTAATATTTTCTTTGATTATAGATATAAGATGTGTGATGAAGTAATTTATTAATTAATAAAAAAGTCATACTATATCTTTATTTTAGGAATAAAAAGTATGCGCACGTATATACCTAGACGTTATAAATTGATCTGCACGATTGTTAAATACGTACGTGACTCTTATGCCATATTCTCATCAATATCCTTCAATAATCGTCTTATATTTATTCCTATCTCATGTATCTACGAATAAAAGATAAATATGTTTACAAGAGGAATGTGAATAAGAGTGGGAAAAGTATACAATTATATCTGCAAATAAAATATTTCATTTTTCGTTTATAATATAAAGAAATAAAAAATAAGTATGTATCTTCTCGTAAGAGCATGATGTCATGACATATTGATATTATAGTCACGGAGCCTGTTAAACGGAAAAATCCAAGTTACATTTCTTAAATTAACACTAAAACGTGTTACGTTTTTTCTATCCTGATTATTCTAATTTATTAAAATATTTTCCAAATTTGTCGTAAACATAAAAATACTTAAGCGCGTGTAACGCTTAAGAAATGAATATTTGAACGTTGACTTTTTCTATTTTAATTTAAATGTAAAGATATTAAGCCGATTCTTTTTGATAAAAAATCAAATGAAAAAAAAGGAAAAAGGAAAAGGAGGAAAACGAAAAGGTGCAACACTTACTTCCACAGAGGGATTTTTCATTTATTCTCTTAATAGAATTCATCTCTGTCCTATCCTAGAATTTGATCGAAAATTGTCGTTATCCCGTATCCAGTTTTAAAACTTACTCGTAAATCCTTCTGGATGCAACATAAGTATAGCGGATAGTTGATGGGTCTAAATGATTTGAAGGATTTCTATTATGAATACACATTAATACACGTCTCTTCTCTTCCTGATTTAAAAATACACTTTTAAAGGTTGACAAGATGAATTCTCGCCTTTCTACATTCACCCTGATTCATTCCTCCAAAAGAGACTCCTTTTACTCAAAAAATACCGTTATGATCGACGACGACGATTACGAACACGACGGCCAATAAAAAAAGCAATCTACAAAGAGTACTTTTAATCGAATCTAAAAAATCTAAAAAAAACTACACGCATATATATTTTTAACATTTAACGAATGAAATATTTATATTTTAAACTAAAGTATTTGAAATATTATTTGCTATTTTGATAATATCGTATAGACCTTAATGTAACACAAGTCAAATTTGAAAAGAATTCTACGATTTATATAGTTTTCACAATACTGTAAGTGACTCGCACCAGATCCGTATACTTCAAATATTTTTCAAATTTTATACAGTTATCTTATTTTTGTTTTTCCACAGTATATCGTATAAGGCTTATTCTTTTTTTTTTTTTTTTTAGAGTAAAAGGAATATATAAGAATGTAAAACTTCTTCTTTCGATATTTTAAAACCTGTTTGAGTATCTTCCCCCCTACTTCTGAGGAAGGGTAGTGGATTATATTAACGAATCCCTATGTCTATAAAACATTTTTCAAATATCTATGGTATACGTATTCGGTATTATCCTTGTAACATCTCATCGATGAACAAGGTTTTCCACTTGACTAGCTGCCATAAAGCCCCACCATTATATTTAATTGTTGATTATAAATTTTTCCTTTTTAATTCTACATTATGTTTTTCGTTAAACGCTGTTACGTCCATCCTTACCCCAACAAATATTACATTTACTTTCTTCAGAAAATAATACTGTATCCTAATACGAATTATATAAATCATTATTTCGTAACAGTTATTGACTAAATTCTGGATACATTTATTTTTAGAACTGTGTAGCTATCATTTATGCTAATTGTGGTCTAAAAATAAAAGGATCTTTTCTTAGTTTTCGTATAATTCCTGTCTCACAGTTAGCTTTTTTGATTACACATAACGCAGTTGATTTGCAATGTTATCTTGCGTATTAAATGTTTTCACAATATAATGAACAGCAGTCTCTATTCCTAGTTACAGGCTATGTGATTTCACGGTATTATTTGCCTTTCTTATACCACTTTACCGTCAATTTTCTTCCTGATTTACTTGTTTCAGATTTCCTTCGATTCATTTTATCAATAAATGTATTGTAAAAACTATATACACCGTTGAATTATTTTCAAATTTGACTCGTCTTACCTTAAGATCTATCCGATATTATATATGCTAAATAATTTGAAATATTTTCATTGAATATACATATTTCATTGATTAAATGTTTCAAATATAAGCGTTTAATTATTTCGTGTAGATAGGTATCTTCTTGCTAAGGATAAAGCCGATTTACTGACCATCGTACATTTGTATTTGTTATCCTAAAGCTAATTAAAATGAAAATCATACGTTTCTTTCTTTTCTCCGTCTCTTTCTCTCTCTCTCTCTCTCTCTCTCTGTCTCTCATCAATGCGAAACAAATGTCTTTTCATGTAATGAAACCGACTTAGAATATTAATTAACATTTCTTCCTTACTCAGAAGCTCCCCCTTCTTTCTCAACATTTTTTTAAACAAATACGTACATACCTAAGATACATAATACGTATACAGATACGTAGTTCGGTAGTAGGCTGAGAAAGAAAAAAAAAGAGAGAGAGAGAGAAAGGTGGGAGAGGAGGAGAAAGAGAAAACTCATGCCGTTTACGTTACGTTAGATATTTTCTTATAAGGAAAATACTCGGTATTCGTAGACTCTCACTTTGATTCATTCTTGAATGCATCGTTCACCCCAAGGAACAACCTAGACTGACTCGAACAATAAGATAGAGTACTCCTCTTACAGTATGCAATTATCGAGTGCACTGTTACGATGCTGCACCAAGACTGTCTTACAGTGCCATCTAGATATCACAATTTAAGAAAAACAATATAATAATAATAAGTAATTTTTTGAAAAGAATCTGTCGATCGTTTGCATGACAGATTAATAGATAATTTATTATGAAATAAAAATAAATGAGACAAGTGTGAGGTTTGAATGTAAACATTAGAATAAAGTAACGCCAATTAGAAAATAAATACGTTTGTGCTTAAAAATAGAAGCTGATCACAGATGTTTGTTTATAAAAACGATTGTTGCACTGCGCGACAGCAAATAGGCTCTTTAAAGGAGCACCTTGAGAAGTTTTAGAGTCGTTTTTATAGCCAAGTATATAATGATTAGTTCGTCACATATCGAAGGTATATTAAAAATAATTATCTTTCAGAGAGAGAGAGAGAGAGAAGCGTAGATGGAACAATTTGTCAAGTAGATATACATATCTATCGTAATATTTTGTATAATATACTTTCTTTGATCCTTTTTACAATTTAATTCACGCTCCGTTCTTAGTTAAGTTTATAAAACGTATGATGTTGATAAAACTATCTCTTATACAGTTATCAACACTTATATTTATATTATATTTATCGTGTACAGAACAAAGGAATGAATAAAGAATATTTTTGCCACAGTCTCTTATTTTTTGTTCTTTTCTTTTCTTTATATATAAAGATAATATATATATATATATATATATATTTATATATGTATATATGTATACGCTGTATGCATTTCATAGAAGGAAACTTTCGTCGTTATCGCGTGGATAGAAGTTTTCTTTCTTAAGAACCATCGAGCAAAGATGGCTAATAATCACAGTCAAATATGCCGAATAAATATTGTAGCTACAGTACAATAAAAATCAAACAATATATGTAATAAAACTTGATAGCAGCATAATATAAATTATGTACGTCGTAAAAGCGCATAAAAGAAAAAAATTTATCGACATTATCACACACGAGGAAATGAATAATAATCTTAACTTTCGTAATTTGCATATTCGTTATTTTTAACTTTACATATAATATACATTAAATTGTACTTTTTTGCGTTTTCTTATTATCGCATTAACACTTTTTAGACATAATAATCGAATCGAACAAAAAAAGAGATATCGCGTTACGTTATAATCGAAACTAATGGAAAAGAAATAATACGTAATATTATTAATGAATGTTATCGCGTAACGTGTATCGTGCATCGTGCATTGTAAGGCTTCGTTATCATTCATTAATTAACCCTTCCAATTAAATTTTGTCTTTCATCAATAGAATTTCGCTCTGGGGACAGTCGAAAGACTAAAATATTGTCCCTCTAGTGAATAATTATGACGCGTATGTTGTTATTTTACCGTAATAGAACATAGCAATGAACATGTTCAAGTATTGATGAAGGAAATTCATTATAACTAAAGGTATTTTAGGATAATCAAAGTGAACAAATAGTTGGAAAATAATCGTCATTAGTAAAGCGCGAAAGTTTCTTTGCAGAACGACTATAATTGTCGTTTGGTATCGAAAGGGTTAGTCTAAAGTAAACAAAAAAAAGAGATATAGAGATATCGTTTGTCCATTTAATTCTCTCCGTTATGGATGTCCAATGCAATGAACGTAAAATACTATTGGAAATGAATTTATTTCTGTGGTACATAGAAGAAAAAAAGAAAGAAATGAAAATACGTCTTTTGTAATTGTACGACCGGAGAGCATGTAATACGGCTACAAGCATACGGTGCGCTCGATGTAAAGAAAAATCGGACTAGATCTTTACGGATTAAGATGTATGATGGGTCGAGAGGTGAATGTTCAATGCGGCTTTACGACTAAATTTTTTCAAGCAAATCAAACATTCGTGATTTTTTTCATTGATATGCATCGATAAATGCTTCTTTAACGCAGCTTTATCTTTAAAAACTTTTTGACAAGTACTACAATCATAAGGCCTTTCCCCAGCATGTACCAAAATGTGACTGGTCAAAGTAGTTTTTTGCGTAAATGCTTTGTGACAGACGTAACACTCGTAGGGCCTGTCTCCCGTGTGACTTAACATGTGTTTCCTCAAAGATGCCTTCTCTTTAAAAGTTTTCTGACAAATATGGCATGCGTGCCTCTTATCGCCGGTATGTATCAACATATGAGAATTTAATCTCGTTTTTTCTCTAAACGCCATCTCACAGAGATCGCACGCAAACGGCTTCTCACCGGTATGTATTAAAGTGTGTCTGTTCAGATCAGACTTTCGCGTAAAAATTTTATCGCAAACCTTGCAATCATATTGGCCGCCGGTATGCAATAACATGTGACTATTCAAATCGGATTTGCGTGCACACGCTTTGTGACATATATGACATTCGTGTGGTTTTTCGCCCGTATGAACCAACATGTGAGAATTTAGCTTAGCTTTTTCCCGAAACGTCATTAGGCACTCTTTACATTCGTAGGGTCGTTCACCGGTATGAACCATCGTATGCCTAATTAATTCTGATTTCCTTTTGTACGTCTTTTCGCAAATATTACAAGCGTGCGGCTTTTCTCCGCTATGAGCCAACATATGATTATTGAGAGCAGTTTTTTGGGCAAACGATCTATGACACATTGTACATTTGAACTGCTTCAAACCTGTGTGTATAGGCATGTGTATATTTAATTTAGCCTTTTCCCTGAAAGCGGCGTAGCATATCTCGCATTTGTAGGGCCTCTCTCCAGTGTGAATCAGCATATGTCGATTCAAATTTCCTTTTTCTCTGAAGGTATTATGACATATGTCACATTCGTAGGGTCTTTCTCCCGTACTCAATGACTGCTCATCATTACTTTCGGGCTTTTTCATAAATCCTTGTTGCAAAGTGTCGCAATCGTATGGCTTATCCATCGAGTGCATTTGCATATGATCTCTTAAGCACCACTTATAAGCAAATCTCTTCTGGCAAACATTGCACTCCAGCGGACTCATACCGACGTGTGTTAACATATGCGCATGCAAGCTGGAACTGTCTTGAAAGTTTTGCTGACAAACCTCGCACTGATTCCCATTACAATGCATTCTTAAATGTGTGACCATAGAATCGTTGTTAAGAAACCATTTCTTGCAGATGGAACATTGAATCTTATAAAATTTTGGCTGCTGTCCGTTTGCACAAAATACCGGATGTTTCTCCGCGTCTTGAGCTTGCATAAAGTCTGCTGCACTTAAACACCTATGCGATATACCATCTTCTTTTTCGCAAAGGTTCGCCGCTGTGATCTGTGCCGTCCAGTTTGGGTGTCCACTTGTTTCTCCTTCCAACTCCAATTTTACCTACCAACAACAAAATGATTGTATCATTTTAACCTCCTCCCAGAGAATTCCTCTTTTATAAGTAGAAATAATATTACTTAAACTTAATCTTATAAATTCAAATCTCATTACCATTTCATTGGAAAAGTCCACTTCGCTGTTTTCGATAGGTAAAAATACCTTCTCGAAAGTACCAGAGCATATATCCTCCATGTAGTCGGGATCAAATCTATCTCCAGGTTCTTCTTTAAGTACAACGCTTACAATATTTTCGTCCTTAAAGCAATGTTTCTATTAAATTTCGCGCGGTATCATCGAATCGTATCGTGTCGCAGTTTCATGCAAAATGTTTACCATAACCTGACTGTCTATGGCTAATGCATCCATCGGTTCATCTTTCACCTTAAAACCTTCCATTTGCTATACTTCACTCTGAAAGTGAAATTAATTTACTTGTTTACATGAGCATTTTCAAACGTGTCGGGAAGGAAAACAAAAAAAGAAGATAATTCTAAGATAAAAGATATAAATAATGATTTACACGATGGGTGCAGCCAAATATTATACTAAAATGGATAATATAACCTCAAAGACAACAGAGGACGGATTTGTTGTAATGATAGGCCATTTTTGCAACGGACCGATCGACGTCTCTGTGGTAAAAAAAACATCGTCGCTAATGTATCGTGGGCGATCGGTTCTTTTTCCTGGTACTTACAATGGAAGTCACGTATCCTATCCATCGAACGGCTCAAAAGTTATAACATATCTGCTTAAATATATTGTGCTTTCGGTAGCAAACAGTTTCTCTTTCACGGCGCTCTGTCAAAGCACTTTCCTTTTAAAACACTTTATTGGTGTCTTTTTGTAACCATTTAATCGTCTTATGCACTCTATGAAGATGACGGCGACGACGATGACGATGACGACGACGACGACGACGACGACGATGACGGCAACGGTGACGGTGATGGAGACGACGACAACGACGACGAAGACGAACGAAATCAATCGAAACCACGATCGTCTAAATGTACCGTTTCGCTGGCTATCGTGTGTAGTTCGCTTGGATACGCCAGGTAGTACATATGTAGTATGTGCATGTATACGTATTTACGTGCATCGCACTACGCACGCGCGCGCTTACCTCTTATGTGTTCCTAAGAGGAGCGTCTCTATCAAATTCCAAATGTACTTATCTTTATCTAGCAGCAAACAATCGCATTCCTATTTTACGAAATACATCGAGAGAATCTTGGATTGATAAATGATCCAATTCTAAAATATGTTTAAACGGTGTAGATAAGATTATGATATCGATCAAAATGACTATTGCTAATTCAAATGTCATTATTTTTAAACACAGTTCGTAATATTCATTAATCTATTACTCTTCTTGTTTGTTTTTAGTTTTGATAATTTAAGACAAATTTGTTACGTTAATTCAAATCAATTTCCGATTGAAAGTATTTCCTAATTTCGTCTATCTGTTTATCAATAAAATAAATACGGACTATTACAGTAGGAGCATTGTTCTATTTCAGTTAGTCATTGGATGTAAGCTTGATTGCATTACATTATTTACATTAGTGTGAACAAAGCAGGTGTAAACGCTTTTTTTTTTTCTATCGTATCATTATTTAAAAATCTAAAAGTGCACGCGAAGGATATGGCTAGATGCAATTTTACAACTTTATTTTTAATCGCTACGTGGATGTCGGTTGCTATTGGTCGAGGTAAGAGAAAACAAATATATATATATATGTTTTCGCGAATGTTCCTTCTTTTTTTTGTTGACTCATAAAAATACAACAAAGAAGATTTCTTTTCTTTTTGTTATGCTTTACAGCAGAGATTCGCGTTTCGCGTGTTAAAAGAATAGTAGGAGGACAAGACAGCGATGAAAATGAGTTTCCATTTCAAGTTTCCTTACGATATTCGGACACTATACACATTTGTGGGGGTGCATTGATAAGTGAAAGACATGTTTTGAGTGCTGCACATTGCGTGTGCGAACTTTTCGATGAACCTTATGATGATTTATCGGTGGTTACCGGTACTATAAGTGTTAAAAAAGGTGGTAAGTATCATAAGGTTAAAACCATCCATTGTCATCCCGAATACGCTTTTGGAGCCGAGGATTCTTGGACCCACGATTTGGTAGTCATCACGGTGAGTCCACGTTGGAGCAAGAAAAAACTTGTTGCTTCTATTTTGCGTTTCACGAGCATCAAATAAATATATATTTGGGAAATTCCTTTTTACAGTTGAACGACAACGTAATTTTGAGTTCTAGTCAAAAGCCTATCGACTTGCCAATTTCGGATACCTTGGAAAACGTATCCGCGACTTTGACGGGTTGGGGTAGACATCATTCTCATGGTCCCTTGTCAGACATTTTACAAAAAGTTACTCTCACAACTATTACTAACGAAGAATGTCAAACGTATTACAATAATACTATTTTACCGTCTCATTTATGTACCTTAGAACATAAGGGAATTGGCGCCTGTAAGGTAATCCTAAGTGTTGTAACTAGTATAATATTGCTAATACGTACATACATATATCTTTTTCTTGGAAAAACAAGTATTGTTCTTTTATTAGGGCGATAGCGGCAGTCCACTAACTTACAATAATCAAATTATCGGTATATTTTCTTGGACAAAGCCATGTGCAGTTGGTTCGCCCGATGTCTACACCAGAGTTTATCAATTTATAGATTTCATTCGAAATGCTACGCAATATGAAGATCAACACAAACAGGTGTACTATTTGACATGAAAAATCGTTCATTGTTAAAAGTTATACGAATTGTTTCATAATTTAATTGTTATATCATTTTACATAGTGCTAAATACACGTAAATTACAAAGAATGTTGTAGAGAAGAAAAATGAAAAAACCTCTCATAATATAGACGGTTGAACTAATGATTGTTGTTTCACGTCGACACTTTTTTCCCTCTTCCAACTGAGATATTCTAGAGGTGAAACTTACAAATTAAAAATGACCTCGTTTATAAGCGCGCGCCGACTCTGACGACAGAATTTATAAACTAAGTTCGATTAACTTAGATTCGATAGTTATCTGTTCGAGATCTATTTCGATATTAGTGTAACCTACAAAGCAAATATCGATTAGTTTATTTTAAACTCGATTGTTTTTATTTTAAATAAATTTCTCCTTTATTATTTTTTGAAAAATGAGTACGCAAGATCGTGTTTTCGTCGATAATGTGGTTAAAGAGGTTCGTTTTAATTATTATTTCTTATAGACGGGAAAACAAGGTTATATTGATAGTTTGTAAAATCTAGATTCCAGATATGGCACGATATATACCAAATTTTATAACCGAAGAGGAAGAAAGACAAATAATGAAACATGTTGATACTGTTCCTCTTCCAAAATGGACTCAATTGAGTAATAGAAGATTACAAAATTGGGGTGGTATACCTCATCCCAAAGGAATGATAGCCGAAGAAATACCAAGTGTAAGTAATGTTATAGAACATTAAAAAATTACTGTAATAAGTAATAAACTTCCAACACACAGTGGCTTCGAATTTACATGGATAAAATAACTTCTTTAAATGTTTTTGAAAAAGATAAGGCACCTAATCATGTATTAATTAATGAGTATTTGCCTGGTCAAGGAATAATGGTATGTAACAATTATAGTAAGCACTTGCGAGTGTATATATAATCAATTAGATATTATTCTTTCTTCGACGAATATTTATAAATGATCTTTTAGAAATTTGGATTTTTAATAGGCACATTCAGATGGTCCACTTTTTTATCCAATGGTAACTACTATTAGTTGCGGAACTCATACTCTTCTAGATTTCTACAAACACAATGATATTATGGAGGTATATGATTACTAATTTGCTCAAAATAATATTCTTAGTAAAATAAATCTTTAAATATTAAACGAGAATGCATACACATAGTTGTTCTTTTTTAGCCGCAACAAATTAAACTGAAGTTTAGTTTGTTATTAGAACGTAGAAGTTTGTTAATATTGAGTGGAGAATTGTATCATGATTATTTACATGCTATTGAACAAACTTATTCGGATACTATCTCAAAAAATATAATTAAAAATTTGGATATGTGTGCGGCAGAATATAACGAAGGGCAGATAATCGAAAGAAGTACAAGAGTGTCTTTAACTATCAGGCATGTACCTAAAACTAGTAAATTAAAATTAAAAATAAGTTAAAATTAAATTTTTTTTTTTTATATTTTGTTATATTAATAGTAAAATATATCCTTAAGAAATGTATCCTTACGAAAGGCCCATGGAAGTTGTATCTGTATCTTCATAATTTTCTAAACTAATATCCATTATTTCTTCTTCACATTCGTCTAACATTTCTTGCAAAGAATGTATAGAAGATATAAGAACGTGAAACTGTTTTCTTCGCATTTCTAATTTATGCTCCAATTGTTCAGATTTCTCCTTAATTAAAAAAAAATAATTTATATTATAATAAAATCATTAATTCAATTTACTATTTCATTACCTTCAGACTTCCTAATTCTTGACGCAGCGCGGCTAGTTTCTCGTTGGTTTCCAGTCTGTCTGGTTGCTCATTAATAACTTTCGCTAATACATCGTACTCTATTCTATTTTTTCTTACGCGTTTAGCTTCATTTAATTCTATTTTTGTCTTTTCTATTTCCTTTTTGGCTTCTTCTATTTGGACTTCTATATCGTTCGATAAATTACTATAACTTTTCAATTCTTCTTGGCTCATGTTTGATACCAGTCTAGATTTTCTTTGCGCGAATTCGCATTGGGCGAGTTGCGAGAGCATTCTTTCGTGCAACGTGTTGTCAACGTCAGGACTGTTTATCCATTTAATAAATGATTTTAAAAGCATATTTATTCGACGATCATCCCCTGTACCATCTCCATCTATTAGCAATCTTCTGCGTATTACATCCTCTAAAAAAGATATGTTTTAGTACAAAATTCTAATGTAAATACAGTACAATTTAAAGGTTATAATTCTAATTTTCTTACATTGTAAGAAAAGTTATTTTTTACAATGTAAATTACATTAGTTATTTATATCTTATTTAACGGATAGAGAAATTATGTTATGATTTAACAACGTTTTCATAAAAAAATAATACTTTGCTTACCGTCACACATATTGATATTTTAATAAGTGCAATAAATAAATAAATATAATTTATAGAATATTTCTTCGATACACAATTATTTAATAATTTCAACTTCAATCAAAAGTAATTTAAGTTATGAAAACTTAGAAAATTATACTGATAGAAAGAAAGAAAAAGGTTAGTAACATAGTAAATTTGTGTTAATATGGCACCGCCCTACTACTCTGCAGTATACTGCAACTAGCGACATTACGTGGAATGATGGAATATGGTAGTAAATACAAATGCATCATAGATAACCGTATATATGTATATAAATAGAACGAAATAGTTTGATACGATTTGGTATGGAATACTTTGTGTTCAGAAAAAATCTGATTAATCTTATTATAACATTATATTTTGATCTTTGTCCAATATAATTACATGCAAAACAGCACTATAACATTACGTATATTACTAGTAGAGATAATTATTCATTTCTTAAATGATATTAAATATACTTTACATACTATTATACTGTGTCAATCTTCTTGAGGATAATCGTTTAACATACAGATATAACAATTTTTCAAAAACATTATATATCAACATACGTTCTCTGCGCTTAATATAATAAGATCATTGGTCCTGAATAGGAGTTGGTATACAATATATAACATTTCAAAACATATATTATATGAAATCTACAGTTTCTTTATATATAGTTGTTCTTGCATGTTAATGCTGTTGCTGATATATTTTATCTTTACCTTTAACATCAGGTACATTTCAAATAATGTGGTAATGACCATTTTTCTTATAACTTGGTTCTTTTTACAATATAAAAAGAAAAAAAAATATCCAAAATTTATATGTCATTTTTTAAACAAAATTAATAAAGCTATTAATAAAGCGATAGAATTGAATTAAAATATCCCGATATATTCTTAAACAAAGGAGATATTTGTATGGCGAAAATGTGAAATTCGCATCTTCTGCGTGTTATCTAAATTATTGCAGTAGTAAGCACTTAATTTGGTTTATTATTATTTTTTCTTGTAACGATACACGAAACAATTTTGTATCAGTTTTGCGTTGTTTTTAATTGTTTCATCTAAATCTAGCCGTGTCTGTATATATTAATTCCTGTATATATTTTAATGAAAAATATTGTATTATACACATAAAAATATAATTTACAGATTTTAGAATAAGTATTATATAACAGGGCATAAATCATTGCTTTTCCTGTTTTTAAGAAATTTCATAATGTCAAAGCGATATCTTTTTATGGAATCTCTTTTCTTTTTCTTTTTTTGTTTTCCTTTCGATTTTAAGTACACTACGAGAATTAAGAGATCCCTGTATATTATGATTGAGATGGTTTCTTTCTTCTGCCGAATAAATTGCTTAAAACGGAACTTCGTTTATAATCACGATCTTTTCTACTACCACTTATACTATTTTCACTTTCCGATCCACTCTCGGATGGTCTTCTACTATCTACGAGTGTAACATTTTGAACATTTTGTGGTACTGCTGGTGGAGCTACATACGGAGGTAAAGAGGCTGGTCTGGTACTAAATGTATTATTTTGTTGCTGGGAAGTCTAAAAAGCAAAGTCAATTATTGACAATTATATCTATAATATAAAATGTGACTAAAAGGTAAATATTTAATTTTACCTGTCTAACAGTTATCGGTACATTCCCATACGCTGTGAACAAAAATAAAATAATCAAAGTTTATTGATAATATTTCATAATTCATTCATAAAATACATATAAAAAAAAGCTTCATGTATCTTTTACTCTGTTGATTTTAATTCCACCGTTTATTAAAAGTAAAAGATTTAAATTAGATTAAATAAGGTATGAATGGAAAAAGAGGTAGGAAATTAGAATGAAGATGTAGTTGCGCATGCAGAAGAATTGTATGATATATGTAAGATTTGTCTTACATTCGGTACGAAATTTGTATGAAAATGGCTCTAATGACTGACCAGGGTCATGGGGTATATTCCACTGAGCCATTCCGGTAGGTGGAGGGGCGCTCGATGGCAGGGGAGGTGCTAATTCTATAAAACCATGAAATGTCATAGGTTGCTTTTGGTGCAAATTGATCAAACCGAGGGAGATGTTGAAGTTATTATTCAAAGACAAAAGTTGATAAGTACCTGAATGCTGTGTGTTCATGTCTACATTACTTTGCCTATGCCATACTTCGTTTGTGGAATATTGGCTAGATCCATTATGATTTAAGGTTGTACTGCGTTGTTGTTGATACGATTGTGGTCTTCCTTGCTGTACATGGTGATCCGAATCTATAACATTGTGCGCATTGTTTTATATATGGGGGAATTGACAAATTGTACATTATAAGAACGTTTATTTTATTACTTTGCTTATTCGTTTGCAGTAGCTTACCATTTCTTCGAAATTGAACCATATTTTCGGAACTTGGTGATCGTAAAGGAATCGGTGGCGGTGCTCCTCTTGGTGGTATGGGAGGTTTATCGCTTGAATTTTGTTGATATTGATCTCTTTGATTTGCAAATTGTTCCTGTTGAATTAGCTGTTGTTGTTGTTGCGCGAGTAATTGCTGTTGTCTGTGCATTTGCAAAAATTCTGTTTGCGTTTGAGGTGGTTCTGATCTTTCCGAAGCTAAGAATTCTGCATTGTGTGGATCACGGCGTTGTTGATTTTGTCGATGCTGTTGTAGAAATTCTATTTGTACTGTGCTCGGAGAGCGTTGATTGTGAAGATCGCATCTAATAACAGAATTCTTCCGTTCCATTTCGGGTGTTGAGTTACGACTACTTCCAGTAGATATATTATCATCTTGGTGATCCGATGGTGCGTTATGCAATCTCTCCAAGCCCTCCTAAAAAAAATATATGAGCGTTTACGCTTATTTTTATGCATGATAATTCAAACTGTTTGGAAAACGATTCAAGTACATACCTTTTGAGAATCGTCGTAGCTCAAAAGTTGTAAGCTTGGTGGTAATTTAGCATGGAAGGATATTTTATTAACCCAATCTTCCATTTCTTGTTGATTTGGAGCTAAGAATAAAAATTCCGAGCCATCTGTGCACTTTAAGCGGAATACATTCTTCTTTTTCGTATAATCGTCCGCTTTCTCGCATATAGCATTGAAAATAGTAATTGGTGCGGTAGCTGCTTTGCTAAGAGAGAAATCTTCCATGTCTTTGAAGAAGCACAATAGTTGTCCACATAATACTGAAATGAAACGTGTTATCATTCGATAACGCAGATTATAGAAGAAGAAAGCAGAGAAAAACTGTAATTACCGGTGTAATATTGCTTCCATGATCGAACGGCGGCTTTCTTTCCAGCGCTTTGTAGTTCGTGTTTCCTCTCGAGAAGACCTTGGATCTCTACGGGCGGTAAAGCATCCATATTTTCCATTCTTTGGAGTTTCCTGAAGCTCTGTGTTCTTCGTCTGGTCGTGAAACTCGGTGTCCGTTTTGGTTTCTTTGTATCAACTTTCATACTTTCTGCCCTCTTAATATCCACATTACCTTTACAAGGAAAATACGTTTATCGCATTAATAAATGTCTAGCTTAAATTCTGTATAAATGATGAATCGAACATTAGACATATATAATGCGTACTTCGTCTCAATTTATCACCAAATACATGAGGTACACCGTGTGGTTTTTGAATCAAAGGAGGCTCCGAAACATCGGCAGGAGTGGGACCCTTTAATGGTGCCAATCTAGAATAAATAAAACCTGATAAGAGGAGAACAGGTTTGTCATTATTTAAAAATCTCATTTCGTAGTTCGTACCTGTTAACGGATTCGTGTTCATCGACCGAACCATTGACTTCATCGTGTGAAGGCCGATGAGGACTATCCAGTAATCTTCTCCTTTCTTCCTCGCGTTTCCGTTCTTCGGTTATTCTTTGTACTTCTTTACGTTTTCGTTCCTCAATTCGCGCACGTTCGATTCGTTCTTTTTCAGCTTGTCTCGCAGCCATCTCCGCTTCTTGTTGCTTTCGGAACGCTTTCTCGAGCTTCGAGAGTAAAACGTACGAGGTTTAATTTAAATATATTTTATTAGAAAAACAAAATAACACTTTTTTAATTACCATTGTTATACGATTTAGTGCGTTGAACCTTTCTTCCTGAGCCTCTATAGTTTTCTCAAAATCTTCGTGTTTTCTTATAAGCTCCTCCACTTGTGGAATACTATCGCCTAGTTTACCATCGTGCAACATTGGTTCTCTACTAACGATCCAATTTTCCAAAGTTTCAGCATCTCGTTTGAATAATTGCGTGTCCAAATTCTGTTCATATATGAGTTTTCTTTGTTCCCATGTATCTAAAAGTATTTGTTTTCTTAAACGTAATACAGATATTTTTTCTTCAATTTCTTTTCCCAAAAAATGGCCTTGTTCGATGAGTTCTTGGCCAGTTTTGTAGAATTTTTCGAATGCTTCCTTTCGCGTATCGATCTCGGTTTTGTATTCGTTGTGTCGCAAAATTAGAGCTTCGGCTCCTGGAACGTCTCGTGCCAATTCCGGTGCGGTTACTTTCGCCACCATTTCATTTATCCACGATAGCAAGTCTCTGTATTCGCCCATATACGATTGCAATTGTTCAGCCTGTGCCAATTTGCTTCGTCTTTGGGCAGCTTTTTCCAAGAGTTCGTTCCAAGTCGCTTCAGCTTCTTGGTGCTTAACGTCAATGTGTATACGTGCATCTGGGAATAGTTCGATCAAACGCAATGCTTCTTCCATCAGAGACTCGACCTGAATAAAATATATGTATAATTACGTATAATCACAGATCTAACGTTTCAAGTTTGAAGAAGAGATTTAAGTGTATACAAGTAGATTTACCTGTTCTTTTACTGCACCTAGGTCAGTTTCAAATCCCTGATGTTTCCTGACTAAAGCTTGAATAGTTTCTAAATCGTGTCCATATCCGTCAGAACTTAAAGCGGCCTCCTTTTCTTGAATCCACGAAATCGTTTCATCGGCTGTCCTGTCGAACATGTGTACCTGTTTAGCACCCGCTAACGCATCTTGCCGCGCGTGTGTCAGTTCCTTAAGATCTTCCCACTGTTGTTTCGTTTCTTCGATTTTCCCAAGTATCCTAGCCTTTTCGGGATTGTTACGTTCAATCAATTTTTGACCTGCATCGAGTACGGCAGAAATTCGGTTCTCGCTCGTCGTTAGGCCAGCTAAGAAATTATCAAATATTTGAATTAACAGCTCGACGTGTTCGACGTCACGACCGTAATCTTCCGACGCAGCGACCTAGATGATCAAGGAGGAACAAAAACCTGGCGTTTAAATGATGCGATTAAAC